CGACGCGCTGGTCGCAGAGCACGCAACGATCCATGGAAGGGTTGACATCGTCAATCAAGTTGCGACTTGCAAGACGTATTATTTGATGCGCGGCGCGGCCCATGCCCAGTAGTGCAATAGTGCATCGCGCGGCGCTACAATATCAAACATGGTTAGGTGAAGGTAATAAACGTAAAGGTAATCGGTATTTATTATATTAATCAATAATATATAATAACATCTATAAACAAAAGAGCACCTAAAGAGGCTCAGCAAAGTGCTGGCATATTTACGCTTACGAAGACTCATTCGTTCAATATGTCTCAAAGTAAATAAACTCCTCCATCCTACTCTATCTCTTGCTAAGTTCACTAAGTTGGTAAAATCATCTTCATTTTTCAAATAAATTTGTCTCTTAAATAGGTCCTTTTTTACAATAATATCATACAAATTAGTCCTGTGTCTACCCACTCGTCCCTTTAGTGTTTGACATCCTAGTGTAGCAAATAACAGAGACTGGTAGGCAGGCGTGTCGTTGTCACTGCGTAGAACATGACCTAGCATTGTCCACCGTGCCTTTTCCACTCTCTCGGAAAGGGGCCTGGTCTGGGTACGAGCGTAGAGGGCCTTATTAGATATTGAGCTAGGCCAATAGATGTGTAGGATGCGCTTGAGGTGCTTCCTCTGAACAACATCTACAGACTCTAGAACATGCTGAGGTACGGCCCAGCAGCAGCAGTTGTACAGGAGCACTGATACTACTAGTGAGTCGTAGAGTTTGATCTTTCTCTTCTCAGTTATTTGACTCCTCTCTGATCCCTGGCACCACAGCTTGTCAAATGACCAGAAGGCAGAGTTAGCTTTAATTAATAATGATTTTATTAAAAGCGCGGCCCAGGTCATGCATATGGTGGAACAATAAATTAATTTAATTGTAATAATTATCGTTCAACTAACCATGTGCTTTCGCGCCGTGAGGCGGGCGCGCGCCACTGCAAGCGCAAGGGCTCTGGATAGAGCAATAATTATCGCTTAACCACAAATCTTCGTGCACTTCTGTAAGCGCGAGGGCTATAGTTTTATTATTTTCAGCACCAAAATTTATAAATTTTATAATATTATTGAACTGTAAATATAGTGAAAAAGATAAAATTTAAAATTTGTCTCTCTAAAATTTGTTTTTCTTTATAAATTGGTTTATAATTTTAATTTGATTTAAACGAGATCAGAGATAATTGGAATTTTAACTTTTTCGGTAGTCTCTAAAAATTTTTGCTCATTTTAAATAGCAGTGTACCATTTTTTTAATTGTTGCATTCAGCGATAATTAAATTGTAAGGAGTATTCGAACAATACTATAATTATCAAGATTCAGCTGAAACATGTTTAAAATAATTTGATTACGGTCGGTTTGCCTCACCTTAACACATTTACCAGTTGAATTACATAATCGTCTTTTCTCAAACTATTGTCATTTCTTACTGCCTAATTCTTGGATTGTCTAAATAACCCCAGATAACTTAAGGAATAATTAAAAGCTTTGATTATTGGCCATGGCCATCAAATAATAACTGGTGGAATGGTTACATCAGTGTGCTGCGAGTTTTAGAAAGATGCCATAAAATATAAGTGTGCTTATTGGCTCTGATGCAATACCTTTCTAGATGATGTGATCAACCATGATACTGGACATCATATCAGCTCATGGTACTACTAGTATTGACAATTCTCTTGAAGTTCTATACATTCATACTACAGATATTGGGCACAGGTATTCCGGATCATGCTGCATTGGGTCAGAAGGAAAACGATAATTTGAAGTTGGAATATGGATTGACGATCTCGAATATCTGGTAGATATTGCCAAACTGAAACATCAGACAGCATACTGTGCCTTTAATTATGGGTTGAATTATGGGTCGAATACCAACAACTAATAAGATTAGTCCTGTATATCAGCACTATTTGATAGACCTTTCTTTTAGAAACCTGCAGAAAGCTCATTGCATTACCAGTCAAAGAAGGATGTCTAAGAATAGAGGATCAACAAGAATTTCGCCGCGGTAACACCACGCACGATCAAATTTCCCTACTGCCTACAATGTTATTGTTCTACTTTATTGTATCCCAGAGTGGTGTTTGGCGCACGTGATAATCTTTTATATTATATTTATATTAGGCGTGCAGAACTTGAAAAATTCTGCGCGCATCTGAGGTGTCGCCGTCGATCTGTATGTGGTTTGGTTGTAGATCATTTCATACTTTGCGCGGTTTTGTTTCGTGTTAATAGCAATAATGATGCGTATCATGTCACCGGTCACGTCATATTACTGCATCGTATGCCAACTTTATTGACTTGTGACTGTAATAAAATATTCTGCCTCGTCTTAGTTATTATTTTTATCTAATATAAGAATATAAACTAATACATTTTGATGCTTACTCGACACATCTATACTTATAGCACCATCGATTTTCGAGCCTTTTATTTGATATACGATTCTTTAAAAGCAAACCGCAATGTTGATATTAGCTTCTTGAATGTAAATGTAAAGTAACATCTGTTCTCAACTATGTATTCCTATGCTTTTTACCATTCAGTGTCGATTAACTGTATAATAATCAGCCTCGAGTTTATCAGCTGATATCATAATTTTTTTTTTTTTGACTTGCTGAATTTTATCACTCGGTAATTAATTAAGCTTGTCTCACCAAAATAACACTTAAATTTATGATTGATCCGTGTGTAACAGTCGTCAAGCACCAAAAACTGGTTGCTATGCCTGTAATTAATTAACACATAACTGGCGTCGCGCGCGCAAAATATACTCCTTTTATACACAGAATTATAGGGGAGTGGTCTATATTGCGAAGGAGCAGACTTTTGTCGACATCGTAGGACCGTCGGGCCACCTCATATATCCAAACCCGATTACTTATTCCCTACGATCTTTTTGCCTTCGGCAAGAGTAGGGAAAAAAATTGAAATTTTGTTGCCATTACAATGAATATTAATATTATTTACTATTTGTAAGTCTCTGCACTTTACTATGTATGCTACCTGGGGTCAGGGCCGGGCTAAACGGAAATTATCTTTAATTATCTATTGGAGTGGGCTGGTGGCTTGAGTCAATGGTTTAAAGTTGTATTTGGTATTTAAGGAAGCAATGATGGTAGAGATACTTAATATCTTGGCCTGCGAAATCTCGTAGTTTACCCAAAGTGCCTAAGGTGCAGTTGGTACAAAGAGAAACTTTAAGGTAAGATCAAGTTTCTACTAGTACCTGTACCTTGTCAATCAAGGTTAAGATGCACAACTTTATCTCTGACAACTGAGTACAAGGGTTAAATAAAATCATTACCTTTTTGTAATGCATACAAATTACACAAACATCAATTTAGTACTCTTAATTGTTATATACAGGTAAGTACTGGTTTTTGACTGAAAAAATGTGTGATCGAACACATGCACAATTAATATAGGAGGCCTTGCAGTCTGATGTGCTGAGCTGTTAACATTCTTCTGGTTCCCCTCAACTTAATAATTGTGGTTTTCTATATTAATCAATGTCTAAAAAATATAATATATATGAGTTTAAAAAAATTAAAATTGTCTTTTTTGAATAAAATTCATGTACAGTATGTTGAATTGGATCTGCCAGACAATTGTTGAAACGATATAAAATTAATATTAAGTGTCCATTGCATTCACAACTCAAGGTCACGGCACATTCTAATGATTTTATTTTATGCATTTATTTACATTGAAGACAATGTCAGATTTTTTTTCCTGAATAGACTGAATTAGAATGAATAGACTCATTGATGACAATTTTCTAACGAAGGTAATAGATACATCAATAGACATAAAGTCCTGTGAATCTTATCTAAATCTATTCATTCTGCAGTATCAGTCGACAACTAAGTAACCCTATTATGCAAGAACTACTGTAGAAATCACATGGTGTTAGCAATTATGACAAATGATATTACAGTAGCAGTACCAGTATGAGTGCCTTTGACAGTTCTAACTAACAAAATAGTGACAGGTTTTTTTTAATCGTTACCTTAAGAGGAGCGAAAAGATTAAATAGAATTCATGTTGAAATGCCTTTGGCATTAATTCTTGCTCAATAATTGGTTAACATGTAATATTATATTATAATACAGGGTGGCCTAAAAGTAACTACCCACAGTGAGGAGATCACTGATTAAGTGTTGGGATCAAGTATCCACCAGATCTTTAAATGATCATAACTCGGCTTAATTGTGAACAATCAACAAAACTGAAATTTTGGGAAATCACTTGAATTATCAAACCAAATGTGTCTATAAACTTTGTAGTTCCTAGCTCAAAGTGTTCTCACTGTATGGCGACAATAGTGAAAAAGAGGGAGTGGCGTGCCACACCCTCTGTAATCAATGAAATTTTGCGAAACTTTCAGAAATTCTAAGTTTTTGTGAAATTTTTGTGAAACGAATTACGTGAGTTGTTAAAGGGTTTCATGTGGGTAGTTACTCTTGGGCCACCCTGTACATACTATCAATTATAAAATTTTGCAACCAAAATTTTAAATATGAGGCTTCCATGATATACTAATTACAACACTACAAATCTATTACATTTATTGAGAAAATTATGTAATGTAACGCGATGGAGGTTCTTTAAGCGGGCAATTCCAGTCCAAACCCTGGAAACATGACATAAAGGATTTGTTTTACTTGTTGCATGAAAAGCACTAATACAGAGGGTGTCATTAAAATTAAAATTCTTTGATGCTGCCTGGAAATATTTGTATTTCTGAATTATTGACTTTCAAGAAAACAATAAGTTCACCATGTTCTTGATCATTATAGGTCTGAATTAAATGATATCTACACATTGTTTGTGTTTTAAAAGAAATTTAGTTTTTTCTGCTGAGATAATACTTACAATTTAGAGCTAAGATTCAAATTTTGTTTGATAGTTTGTTGGTTTATTTTCAGTTATCTCATTTTCTAATTTCCCTACTTCATATTCAGGTAACAACATGCCAACTGACAACAAAAAAGAATCTGAACCCACTGACACAATTGTGATCACTAGTGAGTGTGAACTAAGATTTGAAGTAGAGAGCGATGAAGTTTCACTTGTGCTTGTGGATGGTCAAGCAGAAATCTTTGGAACAGAGATTCCTCAAAATAAAGTTTACAAGTTTGTTGCTGGGTTGAGCATTGCAGTATTTTCATGGAGGGGGTGCCGACTGAAGATTACTGGTAATTGTTCTCGGTACATCAGTAAACAGACTCCAATGGTAGTTTATTTGCAGACTCATGGTGCACTCCAACAAATGCGCAACAATGCAGAAAGGGATGATAAAGACGGTCCCAGAATCTTGGTGGTTGGTCCTCAAGATGTAGGCAAATCAACACTTTGCAGACTACTTTGCAACTATGCTGTAAGAATGAAGCAACAGCCTGTGTATGTCGACTTGGATGTGGGACAAGGTTGTATTGGAATACCTGGATCTATTGGTGCACTTGTGCTAGAGCGTCAAGCTGATGTTGAGGAGGGATTCACTGAGCAACTGCCTATTGTGTATCATTTTGGGTACTACTTCCCTGATGCAAACTGGGCTCTTTACAATGAACTGGCTAAGAAAATTGCAGAAGATATTGAAAAGAGGTCTGAGTTCTCCCAAAAAGCCAGGCACAGTGGATTTGTTGTTAACACATGTGGTTATGTTACAGGTGACGGATATAAGTTCATTAAAGAAGCAGTAGATATCTTTAAAATCAATTGTATTTTGGTTATTGATCATGAGCGGGTGTTCAATGATCTTCAGCGTGATATTCCTGAAGATAAAGCAACATCGATTCTTCTCCCTAAAAGTGGAGGTGTCATTAAAAGGAATGGACCCTGTAGGAAACGTACTCGGGAAAGCAGAGTTAAGCAATATTTCTATGGTTTCCGACGCCCACTTAACCCATTTGTGTTCAACATTGGTTTCGATGATATACAAATCTATAAAATAGGCTCTCTTGAGATCAGTGATTCATTGCTTCCAATCAACAAAGTTACTGACATTAAAAACAAACTGAATTGCGTGAAAATTGAAATTGATAATGAGTTACTGCACACAGTTCTGAGTCTGGTGTTTGGTGAGCCTCCAGATCTGCTCTGCTCCACAGTAGCCGGGTTCATCGTCGTCAAAGATGTTGACATGGAGAACAGGCAACTCAACGTTCTGGCTCCTGCACCCCATCCCCTAACTCATAATATCTGCCTGTGGAGTGACACAAAGTATAACGATGAGGGTTCTATCAGTTAGGTACAACTGTACAAGAGCTCCTGGCCCTGGGGGGTCTTGAAACTGAATAAGCTGCTATTTCTTAGATTAACAGTTAACTAAGTGAAAAGAAGTAAAGGTGTCTGATAAATCAATTGGTAATATTATAACATTACGGTGTAATACGATATCATGTACGTGTACTTTCTATCCTGAATCCTATTTCTCCAATCATATAATGGACTTGAGAAATGAGTAAAAGGTGATAAACTGAAATTCGATCTAGCAAATATTATTTCTTCATACTAGACGTTGCCGTGGATATGTGTCCAGACACTGTGTATTATTGTTTATCTCTTCAGTAATGACCATTACTAATATGAATTTTTGATGTAATTTAGGCTTACCTTCTTGATTTGATCAGAGACGCTACACAGTTGCACTGCACTCATGCACTGTTCGAAATTATTTCCAAACCTGCCGTAAAATGATATTTTGCTCATTGGAGTCTGGATTATCATATCAGAAATCGTTTTTCCGAAAGTCTGTAATGTTTTTCCGAGAGTCTGTAAATAATTCTTGAAAAAATCAATCAATACCTATAATACAATTGGGATTGACAATGTTTGTATACTGAAAATTTCAATTATTATTTTACAAGTTGTATTTTTATCATTGATCGCCGTCGTTTTCCTTGTTTCTTTTGAATCTATAGTAATGATGCTAACTTTCTCTAAAGGTTTGGTTTTAAATTTACAAAATCACGCTGACTATGTATTAATCTCTTGTGACGCAAGAAATGTCCAGAATGCGCAATGCAAGTTTAAATTTAATCTGATCTCTGAATCTGTTCCTTATTTTTCATTACACTCAACTCAACTGAACAAATTTTACACGACTCTCCACTGTATTCTCCAAGGGCCATGAATATAATGTCAAAGAGCAAGAAAGCAAAGACGGCATGTCCCAACAGTACCACAAGAAACCCCATGGTTAATGACGTCAGAGAGCGCAGATTGATGAAAGAACTTCAAGACATCACTAACAATGCCACTACCTTCACCGTGGACCTGGTAAACGACAATCTTTTCGAGTGGCACGTAAGTATTATCTCATGTACCTTACTCGGGAATATTATGACTGGGATAAAGTGGTGGGTTTTGGAAAATTCCGCCATATTTTTCCCGGTCATTAATTTTCCCAGTCATAAATTAACCCGCTATAATGTTCCCGAGTAAGGTAAACTAATATTAATACATTTTGATGCTTGGTGGGTTTTGGAAAATTCCGCCATATTTTTCCCGGTCATTAATTTTCCCAGTCATAAATTAACCCGCTATAATGTTCCCGAGTAAGGTAAACTAATATTAATACATTTTGATGCTTGGTGGGTTTTGGAAAATTCCGCCATATTTTTCCCGGTCATTAATTTTCCCAGTCATAAATTAACCCGCTATAATATTCCCGAGTAAGGTACATTGTTTGAACTGTACACCCTTTTTGTTAATTTCTAAAGCCACAAACAGTGGTCACTTATCCAGCATATGTTATTCGGGATACTGTGCGATTGTTTAAAAAGAGTGGTAATACGAGCCTTTTAAATTCTATAGATATTGTAAAACAGGTATAATAACACCACACGGTTGTTTTAAAAGTTGCCCCAGTGACCTCGTACCCTGTATCCATTTTAAAGTATATTAATCTCGAGACAACAGGCGATTATGTTGGAAATTCAAAGTGATCTTATCGTCGCATCTCCAGGCTTATTGTCCCACGCCATCTCTCGCTTGTAGAAATGAGTAGACCGGGTACACTTTTTTGTTGGGTGAGATTGAAATAATGTAAACGGTGTATTTTATATTTCTCCCGGTATCTTGTCACGTACTTCAAAATCACGAGAGGCTCGTGGTTTAAAAGGTTCTGGGGTTCTGGAGTTAATGTTAAATGGTTCTCGAGGCAAGACGATTATTTACTATTTAGTTTGAGTTAATGTTTGAGTATGACAACGTTAAAATTCGACAAATTACATGGTTGTGAGTTGTGACGTAACAACTTCCTTTATTGATTAAATAGACTTAAATACGGAGAGCTGCATAACTGCAAACTAATGGCGTTATAACTTCATAACCTCAAAAGCAGTTGGACACACCAAATACGGTCGAACTGTGCACGATTAGCTGTCCCCCTCTGCAAATATATATTATATGTGATGTAATATCATATCATTTACACTTTTGTCTGCATATTTGATGCCCGAGTAAATTGAAATAGTGATTAGTGGGCGTCCGATATTTTATTCCCATCCTGCATCATCCTACGACAAAACTTGTTCTACGACATACGGATGTAATTAATTGTCTCGTATTTCGTATCTTTATACAGTAAGAATTAGGATGATATATGTATGTGGTAGGATTTAATAATAAAGTCTCCCATGATATCTGAAGCCTGTATTAAATTATTAATTTTTATTAGTGGTCTGGTCTTTCTGTATCGCTTAGTGCATTTTAATGAATTCTGATAGTTGGAATTAAGATTTCTCAGAAACTAGCATCATCAAGTTGCGGTCAAATTGCTAATATCAGCATCAAAAAGCTTTACCATATCGAGTGCCGGCTCCCGTCTCGTCTGACAGATCAATTTCCACTATTGGTCCACCCCCAGTTTGGAGAAATACAAAATTGTGCATGCTAAGAACCATTTAAACACTAAATCTTTGTTCTTTCATAAACTCAAGAATGGAGTCTAACATCTAGAGTGTAGACTCTAGATTCTAGAAACATATTGTAACCTCCCCACATATAGCTCATGTAAATAATTCCAACATTGCACTTACAGGTACCTTCTGATTGCTGGTGTATGTACAGGGGGGGGGGGTTCGGAAAGATATCTACCCCCTCCGCGCTGGTATCTACCCGAATTTCGAGCGTGGAAATGCGGTCGAAACCAATACCCTTACTACTAATTAACATTTAACAGACATCCAAGTAATGTAACCTTGGTTCTTACCTTAATTTATTTTCTTCAGTAGAAAGTGTGTATAGAAATCTTACTACATAGTTTCGAGTGTATTTCTACAGTCCCATTTCGACGGGACCGCTAGCATTATCAGCCCTATGAGGTATTCTTGTACCAAATGACACGCGTCACAGAGGTCACTTGCGCCGTAATACCATTGAATGCAATCTTTCGAAATGCAGGTTTTGATAGTTTGATGGTTTGTAATTTTAAACACCGACAATCATTAACACTGTTTCAGAAATATCACTGAATTTAATATAACGTCACGGCATGATAGTTACTCGCTGGTCTTGTAAAAGTTTCCATTCGTGTTGAACGCATAATAATATCACATATATTTCAGATCAGGTAATATAATTCTTACATCATATAAATTATTAAGTTATTATATCATTCATCAGAGCGGAGACTCTCTCATCTTACTGCAGTAGCCACAGAGTTTCTGGTTATAGAGTGTCGCAGAGTTGCAGACACTAATAATACAATTGGCAAGCAATAGGCATCAAAATAATATATAATCTCGCAGCAGAAGTGAATTTTAAGTACACGCGCTGTACACCTGTGTCTGATAGCTCTGTGTATTTATGTAATTTATGCAATTTAAGGGACCTCCGCGTCCGTGTGTGTTTTGGTTCTTGGTTAGTGTAGCTGAGATCTTTAAATATGTATATGGATTACCATGGTTACGTCACCATGGTTACGTCACCATGGTTACGTCACTTACCCGGGAGAGCAAATTAGGTCAGATTGTAACGAACCCGTCACAGCTTACCGTTTTATTACAATGTAGGTCTCGATTTTCGATCCGTTATTAAAAGCACGGCATGAAGGCTAGGCTTTTGGTAACAGATCGAAATCTAATCATATATTGTTCTTATAGTACATTCTTTTATCTTAAGTCTCTCCACTTAAAAGTACATATTTTCTTACCAAAGCTCTTTTCTTTGCAATTCTATTGCTCATCTTACTAAGTAAATCGAATTTGCATATAGTATCACAATTCACAATGGACCTTATTCTGCAGAATAAATATTAATTATTTGTTCTGCAGATTCTGAAGAACCGACCAGATCTTTCGGCTTTCTTCAGCTGGATTTGACCAGATTTAAATTCTGTAACCAGAACAGGGAACGGTTTTTCTCAGCTTTTTTCCTTGCGACGGATAATCTGTTTTTTTATAAAACAGAACTTCAGCACATTCTTAAGAAACTACTTTCATAACTACATGACGTATATTCATAAGATCTAGATCATGACATGACGCATTTTATTAACATGTTGATAATGATCAAGCAAGTAACGGAACGTAAACGATTGAGCAATTTCGGGATAACCTCCTAAAAAGCACCGGAAGGCTGATTAGTTTGAATTCCGTCCATTTTCTACCATTTTTGGCACTTTGATACTCCTGACCATTCTATACCCTTTTTTCTAAAACGAAGACAAAATGTCACTGGATTTTAAACTAAAAATCCTAAGAAGGCTAAGATTACCAAATTTTAGAAATTCTTAAAATTTTGATGTCCGCTTGCTAATATCCGGTGTTTTGGTAGAAACCGGACCGGATTAAAATCTTCAATTATTCGTCGGTACCTAACAGATAACGTATAATTATAAAACAAGAATTGTTTGCACCGCAATTATTCGTTTAGTGTAGTACAGATCAGTACCCTTAATAACATGAACCGTACAATCAACATAATATTATCGTAATCTTAAATATCCCAACTTTTTTAGCATAATTTGTCAGCGTTGATAAAAGTGATATTCAATATGCTAATTTCCACCACTCTCCCTTTAACACACCGTAAACACTCCCAGATAAAACTGCACACAGTGGACAAGGACAGCCACCTCGCTGAGGGGATGAGAGCAAACAACATTGGTTACATCCTCCTCAACATGACATTTCCTGACAACTTCCCGTTTGCGCCTCCCTTCGTACGAGTGGTAGCCCCCATTGTGGAGGGGGGTTATGTGCTGGACGGGGGCGCGCTCTGCCTCGAACTCCTCACCCCTAATGTTAGTGTTTGGTAATTTTGAGTTAGTGTTATCATTAAGGTTATTTATTACTGGTAAAAACTCGATTGATATGTGGGGAAGTTTGATTTGGTGCAAGGTTGCTGGCTGCTGGCTGCTGGCTGCTGGTTGCTGGCTGCTGGCTGCTGGCTGCACTTCCTAATGTTTCAGTGATATATTATCCTGCAATTAACAAGTTATAATGCTCATTGAATCAGTACATTGTACTACAATTTATAAGTTCGGTGGTACGTGGTACGCGGGGTCTGTGTTTTTAACACTTGACCTTGTCCAGTCACCGTTGACAGGATGAAATGAAATATTATATTATAACATCATTATTTCCCGTTCATAATTTATCGAGGAGGATTTAACCTTGTGTTTAGAGTATGAGCTGCCGAAGTTTGACCTTGTGTGCACTGTGCATAATATGCATCGTGTAATAAATTGTGTTGTATACAATGTCGCCTATAATACATCTAGCGTCCCGTCAAATTCAACTGCAGTTAAAGCTCGCACAGTAAAAGTGATGCGGTGGCAGTGTTCTATGATGGAAATCTAAAATATATGGCTACAATGAGCATTTTAATAACAATATTAATTCAATCCTATAATGTGCCATGTAATAATATTAAAACCGTTATATGTATCTACTTAAAAAACTTCTTATCGGTCATGTAACCCCAATAATGTGTTGTTATAAGAAAGATAAGCAGCGTTATCACTCAGAAATCAACCCAGTTAACAAATTTGAAAATGGGGGGACAAAATTTTGAATTGTCTATCCATCACAATCTGATGAGTCAGTTGTTACTGGTGACACGTATCCTAGTGGTTGTCGTCGATTACACGCTATATGATGCGGTAAAAGTGGTCTGGGTTTCTTTTCCTTTTTCTCAGTTACTCTTACAGTATTCTAGAGATACCCATAATGGCCTAGCAATCCCGTTATTTAATGTTCTAATCCTAAACAGAGTGTTGATTCCGGAGAATATTATTTTAGAAGAATACGAAGAAAAAAGTAAATTTTCCACAGGCACAGTTTCACAGAATGAATAGTGTTTAAAACAAGCCAGTGTAACTCATTTAACTAACGTGGTTAATGGTGTTATAAAATTACACACTTACTTACTCAGGAAATAAACTACCTGTTCTTGGGCAAGTGAACTTTTTAATCTGTGTCTTTTTTAAATGAGCAGGGGTCTCTCAGACACCAGAGGCTTTGAGTAGCAAGTATTATATGTATATAATACTTACTTAATAGCTAATATAACTACTATAAATATAAGGTAATACATGATCAGCAGACAATGATTTCTGCATGTTGTTAAATAAATGCAACACCGCCCACGAATATTTCGTAATTATGAAATGCCTAAAATAGCTACCTGTGTTCAGTGCCAGTGTTAAATTCTAGGCTCATAATTTTCAGTCAAAACGATACAATATCGCAGTGAGGTATTTATTTGTATCCCAATGCCTTAACTATGCTATGATCATGTGACAAAGGTGATTTGAACTGACCATATTTAAGTAAAAGAGTTCACCCGTAAATGGCTAAAAATTGAGGTTAACCTCTCATTTATTGAATATCTGGCCAGTCAATCATATGTTAACCTCTAAAACATAATCGTTACACTGAGTAAATGTTTTATTACATGCATAGCAGTATATTGATAAACCAATCCCAGTGTAATATGGTCTGTAGCGAGGTTAACAATCATAAGTTTACTATTACTACTACAAGATATCAATTATCTTGATAGTTAACCTCATTTTTAGACAAATTTCGGTTTATGATATTGATTTGATTCCGACATAAAATATCTCAATAAACATCTTCTTTAGGTTAGAACCTTAAAGCCAAAATTGTATGGAGACGATACTATTGTATTGTCTACAGAATTTTAATGTTTGCAAATATCAAAATTCTGTACAATAGAATTGTGGGTAACAGTCAAGGAACACCTGTGCCAAGTTTCAGGTCCTGGGTGTGGCCAGTCTTTTCCAAAAGTTGAGCTTTATCGGGAAAAAAGATATTTAAAGATAAAGTTAAAGTTTTGTAATTACAGGTAAACCTCAAACTTTGGCGCGCAATAATTCCGCGACGCAAGGTCAGCTTTTTATGCGGTTTTTTCATACTTGTTCGTCTTCAGCAGTTCTATCACATGTGTGAAAACTGGAAAGATTACCATCCCCCCCCTCTGGCCTTAAGTCTCCAGTATGATTGGTTTGATATAAAGCGGCTTATATTTTATAAGCTCATAAAATTGTTTATTATTCCTAATAATTCGATAACGATTAAAGAGTCATAATATGTGCCAACCAATCTTGAGAGTTAACAATATACCGTTTCTAACAAAGAATTACTTTCAGGGCTGGACAGCAGCCTACACAATCGAAGCCATCGTCACGCAAGTCGGCTCCGCTCTCATCAAAGGGAACGCCAAAATCGCCAAAGACGGACGAAAGTTCTCGCTCAAAGCCGCACAAGCATCATACAAATCCCTTATAAAAACCCACGAGAAATACGGCTGGGTAACTCCACCCAAGGCGGAGGGATAATCCCGCCACACCCCCCTTTCACGTTGTGAGAACTCAGTTTCAAGTGTGTACACGTGACAGTCAGCAGGGAATGTATCCCCAAAAGTGACTTGTAGAATGAAGAGAATCTGCGGACAACTTGTTGCCACTGGTTAGATGTACAGAAATGAGCATTTGTCATATAAAAATATGCAGTCCTTGCATACCGGCTAATATAATATGCGCTATAACGTAGTGTGTTACGTCGACTGGGATATTAGAGAAAAATATTCGTGTGAGCCGGTCTGTAATCCGTTGGTGACATGTTCTGAATTCCTCGGCTGCGTTATTCATATTGTAACAATCCCGATGTGAAATTAGGAGAAAACGGTTTCCGTCGAATCGGGAGATGACGTAGAAAAGTGCATTCAAATTTCCCTTAAAAATTAATGGGTTTTATCAATTAATCTGTCATCTTTAGTCTGGTGACGATTTGTTTCGTTGTTTTACATCGCTTTGTTTTTTGCGCTTAGCTTTGAATTGCATAACTTTGTAATTAAATCTTAACTCTTCATTTGAAAATTTGCAGTTCTTAACATGCCTTACTACAGCTTAACGTCTCCGTGCAGATTTTATTAATAACTAGAGCAGAAAACCCGTCCCTCGTACGCTTGATGTTGGCGAATAACCCATTCTGTCCTCCTCGCCGCTCTCCTCTCATTTATTGATGATGTTACAATGGTTTGAGAACCGATCTGGTGGTGTAAAGATGTTTGAAAATAACATTTATTTATCATGCTCTTTGGCACCACTTGGGGTCTAAATTTTAAAATCACCATTTTAAGGTCAATTTTTCATTTACTGGAACCATTCTTAAGCCAAACTACACATATTATCATAAAGACAAAAATCTTGCGTTTAAAATCATAAATATGGTTCTGCACTATCGCAAAATGAAGTCGAGAATATGGTGTCAATAAAATGGCAACAGATATTATATAAAAATCGTTCCGCTAACCGCGTTACTTATAGATTGATGTCTAAAATTCAAGATTTATAATGCTACTTCGCATTAAGGACTCATTTAACAAACATAATCTCTGTATAATATGACAAGAGTTGTGCAAGAGATTAAATCAACATCATCCAGACATGATGGGATCTGACCTGAACAAATAAGGTTTTCTTTAAATATCACCCTATTTATAGCAGTGCCGTAAAATTTAGTTTAAAGTTTTACTGTGGTGCCTGTTCAGATTTATCTACGCTGACTGATGACCGCCAGACCGCTGAAGCCGTGCCATATCAGTCGGTTAGTCCTAGTACAATCCTATAGTATTTTAATTTGGTTTTCCTTTAACATCGATATCGCGTTTAATTCTCACACGGGCCAAACCCTTCGATTTTTAAACGGTATAAATTCTCTATTTGATGAATCAGCATCAGCAGCATCAGTCAGCGTAAAAAACTTATTTTCCAAGACACCACAGAAAATATGTAAAAGAATCTAGAGCAAATATTTCTAACATAAGAGAGACTTAAATATTAAGCTTATTGGCAGTGATTCTTTGATTATCTTTACATAACAGTTGTTTTCGAGATGTAAACTGGTATATTTTTATGAGAAAAGAAGTTTAATGAGCTATAATATAATCCACCACTATATCATTCAGCAGTCACATTCTTTCATTATCTATTTGTGAGATAGCTAATTTATTGTTAATTGTAATTTTACACTTGAAAGCTTTTAGATGCTGGTAGTGATACTAACAACTTAACAAGTCTTGATGCCTTCCGATAATTTATGATAAACATAAATACCGATATTATGAAGTTTACTTATGTAGCAGACTCAGCCAAGCGAGACAAAGGAATTTCGTTGAAAATATGTCAGAGACAAGTATGTCACATTGGGGTGATACGCTGGTATTTGGCATGGCTTCGTGGGGACAATTATAATTTGAGATGTCAAAAGATACAGCTTGTATGCATATTGCATTATCGTCTGAGCTGCTTATTAATTCCTTGTCATACTTAGTAAGACTTGGCTGAAAGGAATGAATTTCTTCTTGGTATCAGTAAATTACTGTGAATATCTGCGCTACTCTAGAATCCTCGATAGTTATCAATAACTTGGTCATAGATTAAAAATGACGCGTTTCTTGATTATACATGATGATATAAGGGTTTGAAACACAAGTGGACAGTTTCCAGAACAATCATTGTACAGTAAAACCCCGATTTACCGCGGAGTTTGGGGGAAAGGAAACAGCCGCGGTAAATCGGGGTTTTGTTAGTTTACATTGTGCATGTTAAGCCCTTTTTGGAGGAAGGAAATGGCCGCGGTAAATCGGGGTTTACGGTAAATCGAGGTTTTACTTACATGTATCCATGTACAAAATGTGAAATCACTTGCACCAAACTTCCCTCTTTTCCACTATTGTTGAATTCGTTTTCCAAATTAAAATTGTATATGTATATATATATATATTAAAGCTTGTTTCGTTAAGTTATAAATATGAACGTTTTTCTTTTGCGTTGTGAGTTGCCATGTCTTTAAAATGAAATTAATCGAACACGTTCATCAGTAAAAGTGTGTGGTTACTCTCTGGTCATGATGAGATCATGGTTTTGTTGTGTTGTCAAATTAAATTGACTCCTGAGAACGACCCACATGTTTACTTTGACCGTGCTAATGAAAAAACACAAAAAACAGGAGAGGCTTCAGGGCAGTATTGTATTACCATGGTGGCGTAATGATCGCAACCCTCGCTACGAATTCTTGTGGCTCATTTCATCTGAGTATTACGTTAACATTGAAGCTCGATCCAAAACTACTGATGATATGTTCATGTTCAGAGATCAAAGGGATATCATCATCAAGCCCTCGATATATGAATAAAGTGTTCTAAATATTTCTGACTTTAGTGGTAAACGTTTTTTGCTCAAATAAACTTAACGATGATTTCTTCTCTATGAAACTTCATTACTTCAAGGGGTAAAAGTAACTAATTCTAGACATTTCTTGCCCCCAGAGTTCTTGATACATATTCGACAGGGTGTTCTAGCAAAATTGTACGTAAAATTGTACTAAATATCCCGAAGTTTTATTCTCAGAATTGTACTTAATGTCCCCCCTGTGGCTTAAGATCGCTGAAGGTGCCTCGTTCGAACAGGGCTGGGGGACATTACGTACAATTCTGAGAAGAAAACATTTACTGGGGGTGCGGTGAATATAGGGCTTTACTGTACGGCGCTAGAAGTTATTTTGTGATAATTCAGCATTGGTAAATCACATTTTGTGTATAATATTATTATCACGCGCCGCGAGTGGTACGGAGCGTGTAGAGCATGAGCTAGCTGTGATTACTACTATTATTATTATATATCGAGCGCATGCAGCACGTACGTCAAACTCTTCTCAAGTGAAGTAAACCAACAGTGCAGCATTTTACCAACGTACACATAATTCATTTAAGTTATACACAATTGAATAGAAGTGAATTCATATCTCTGACCACATGATCGTGAGTTCTGAGTTGCTGCGAAGGGTTGAATTTCGATTACGTTATAATAGGGGTCGTTCACATATTACGTAATCACTTTTTAGACACTTTTTACACCCCCTCCGTAATCGGGTTTACAAATAGCCTTAATGTCAAAATTACGCACACTAGCGAGAATCCCGAAGTCGGGATTGCCTTCACTAATTTAAATGCTACCCTGGTGAATTGATCACGAATGGTCGTGTAATTCCTCATATAATTATAAGGAATTAGGTCAAATTTCTTGTTTGGTTCTGCAAATGTTTGGTTTGAACCAATGGTTGGGGTCAGAATAGAAGGTTTTTAGGTTTGGGTTTAATTAGATTGACCGTCACAGCCAAACAGAAAAGCTGTTGAAGTTATTTACGTGATAGTCCAGTGTAGATGGAAAAGCGGTTATTTTGTATTCATCACCCAGTTTATACGCATCGCGGGCTTAAAGTAATAATTTGACCACAATATTTGGAACTCAGTGTATAGTAAATAGCACCAAATTGAAGGTACCCTCCCGTAGTCAACCGCAAGCATTTGGAAACCCCCTCCCCCCTCAGCTGATTACGTATTATGTGAACGACCCCTTATAGTAATATCATATATCAGTGCATCAATGGATATTGAAGAGCTGCCAACAAGAATGTTTTTGCGTGAGTAACCCAGAATTTTCTAAATATGATCGGTGGAATGAGGATACAAGTAAAACATGCTTTGATCAAAATAAATTCGAACCAATTTTATAACCAACACAGTACTGTACTCACTTCGTTTAAATCAGAAATCATGGGATACAACGACTTTTTATGCATAACATAATTCTGTTTCTCCGCTAGACCCCAAAATGGTCATTAATCAATGGCCTTTGACGCTTTTCGATTGAATTGCCCCCATCGTTTAAATCAGAAATCATGGGATACAACGACATTTTATGCATAACATAATTCTGTTTCTCCGTTAGACCCGAAAATGGTCATTAATCAATGGCCTTTGACGCTTTTCGATTAAATTGCCCCATTATAAACTTAAATGTGGCTTCTCGTTACGAGAAATAGTGCCAAGTAGTAGATATAGTTGTATCGTGACGTAACGATCAAACATTTCATAATACGTACTTTTGGGGCAAAGACAAAAGGCTCCGATCCATATCCAACATAACAATTACAGGTCCCTTCTATCGACTGTTAAGCGCACTGCTAGTGCTGCTCTGCAATCATGCTACAAAAAGGCATTGCCATTAGTTCCTCTACCACGGCCGCGAAAACCTGGCCTCTAAATTCAAAGCTTTTCGTGTATTTTTTTTGTTATTTTGAGCGTTAACGGCTAGTTTTTCGCCACCGTGGTATACGTACCAGTATTTACAATTGCCCAACTCAACACCTTAAAACTTTTAATTCTATCAAATCATATCTTAGATACCAAAACTTGTTAAAAACGCCGACATTTTTATTGATTACGGAGTTTTACATAACACTGGTGCCCATCAGCTCTCAAGCAGTCACCAAAACGTATAACATAATAAGCGGTTACTAAACAGCACTGCATTTAAAACTGACCCATTTTCTTGATAAAAACGATTCAAGCTCAGCATCCAGCACCAATTAATAAATTACAAATATATTAAATCAAACCTCTGGCACTTGAAACTTGGTATTCCTAGAGTTTCTGTACAAAGGACAGTGTGACGTACACAGTGACGTACAGTGTGACGTACACAAATATTGACTTTAAGTCGCACACAGCCAACATGTGGCCGGGTTGCTCGGAGCACATGACAATCACCAAAATACCCCAGTTTTGGCCTTATAAAGCGCGGTTGTCATGCAATCCGAACATTCCGACCACATGTGAACTATGTGGACCTGGACAGCTGCACGATGGTGAGGGTCGGGTGAAGGGTTATGAAGTGTCAATCCTAATAGTTCTTATCTTGTTCCGGTCTGCCAGGATGCAGGCCGCTTGGTTCGTTCCCCCACAATAGCCGGAAGAGGAGAACACTGTGAGAAGCTTTCCGTTTTGTTGGACCTGAGGGAAATATTGTTAATTCATACATCACAGTGGGCCAGAATAGGGGGTCATGCTATACTAGACCATCAGTGATCAATTTAGATCATTTCAAACATTATTTTTTACTTCAAATCAGTTGAATATTGATTTTTAAACAAATTTTGGTCCTTTATAAGTCACAGAAAAATTTTTTTGGCTCATTCCATAGAAATTTTCATGGCTGAAATGTAGGTCTAGAGGCATCCAATTCGAGTTTTTGCTAAAGATAATCGTTGAATGTGTTTAGAATGTTTTTAAATTGATAGTCCTGAGGCTATTGATCATTTTAGTTTTTGAATTATGAAAAAATATTGATCGTAGCCAAAGTTATGTCAAATTGAAACCAGAAAATTGGGCGCGAATGCCAGAAATTTCTGAAATTGTCAGAAAATACCAGTAAAATTCCAGAAAAATAGCATTTTTTGATGATATTTCCAAAACAGACCACTTTTTAGTACCCCATAACCTCATGGCACCAGGCCACGACATTGAGAGCCAAGAAAGATGTTCAAAATGGGGTTTGTTTGAGAAAAAATAATTTTTTTCAAATCTGCAAGGTAAGTCTAAATTCCATCAAATTTTTTTTTCTGAAAAAGCCCCAAAAAACCCCAGAACAGTTCTTATACCATTGTTTAGAGAATCGTCTGAGCTTTCAGATGGTACCATGCATTAGTGGGGCAACCTGAGGCATCTAAACTTTTTTTGGCCAAATTTAAGCAAAAATTAGTCAAAAATGAGGCATAAAATTGAGTGCGTGCCAAAAATTCAGCTTAAATGATATGATTACATGGTTTTTTGCTTGAATTGAAGCAAAGAGAGTACTTTCACCTTAATTAGGAGTCAATATACAGTGTTTTAAGCCAATTTTAGAAATAAAATGATGGGTTATGCCAATTTTGACTGCCAAAAGTGAAAAAATTGGCAGTCAAAAAATTTCGTAAAATCGCCGACGCGCTGCGCGAAAGCCATTTAATCAATTCAATTATGGTTTTTTGCATCTAATAGCCAAGATTTTCTACTGCAATACAAAACTTACTTAATTACTTTTAAAAGAACTCAATTTTTCCTCTAGTATAGCATGGTGGCCCACTGTGTACATAGCGGTCACTTCATCGGTCTCGCCGTGAAAAACAGGAAAGGTAACTATGGTAAATTATTATAATTATGGTGAATGGGGGCGAGTGGTTTAAACAATATCTGGTAGAACACTATAAGGATTTATGGCCTCCATTCTCCCTGGACCATACCTGGAAGCCTGCCTGTTTAACCTCGTGTGCTCTGATTACATGAGAGAGTTTATTTCTCTTCAGAAATGCTTCTAAAGCCTCTCGAGAGAAAAGGTAGGCCGTTCCTCGCCGATGGTTTGCGATAAAACCTCCAGAGTCTTTTACTTCCTCTTTAGTTTGTGTATCAAGTTCATCCTCTCTGTAGGTTATATAATATTGTTTTATATTTGATTTTAATTATTCTAAATGAAATGAGATTAAAAATCCTTCCAGTCAGTTTTTCTCTGGAAGAATACAAATTCACATTTACCTCAGAGGATCTGACCACATCACCTCCCAAGCCAGCCTGGATTCCTTCTCAGGGTTAGGTAGATCGTGAGGAATGTCCTCGAACACGGACAAATATCCACCACCATTCTCAGGGGAGGGTATACCTCCGTGTACGCAAAATATCTGAAAGGAGGAAAAGTATAGATATTAAAGTTAGATCAGCTAGAGAAAAATTAAAATGTGCTGAAAGACAGAGCCCAGAAACCAACTGCTTTTAGTGTGTTTAGAGTTGGCTTTATTGTAAATAACTACACAGCCCTGCTAAAATATTCAACGTGCTGTTGTGGTAATTAATAACCTTATCGTCTATAACTGCCGCCAAGGGTAGAGCGTCAAAACACTTGTTGACAGCCTCCCACACTTTCTCTCCCATGACATCTCCAAACTTTGATAAGCACTCTGATTTGAAAGTAAACATCTGCTGAATATTCCTCACTTCGTGGTTGCCTGGATATAATGTGTAATAGTTACTTTTGATATCCTGATAACTGTGTCCACTGTAAACGGTAAAAAAGAAAATACTGCAAGTGCAAGTCTGTGCAATGACGTCGTCCCACAATATATGCTTTTATTTGATTATCGATAAAAAATGTTTATCGTAATTTGCGATGAACCTTCTGCAACTGTGAACAATGAATAAGGGCCGATAAGATAAATGGATTTTAATACCCATATTGGAAATAATTAGCTGATTTTACCTCTGATAAGAAAGAATTTCTGAGGAGCGATCAGTTTCTGAGCAAAAAGGTAAGCGACCACTTCTAACCCATAATCTCCTCTGTCGACGTAGTCACCCAGGAATAAGAAGTTACTGGGGGTCAGCACTGGACCCATTCTCCATAACACCTACAAAAGGAATCATCAAATTATTATAAGTACGAGGGCCAGGGATTCAGGGATTGTGACAACAGTTTTTCTAGAGGGTGAGAATGACACAACCATATTGAGGGACTCTTAAATTTTATATTTACACTTTAAAAACATATAAAAACCATGTATTAAGGGGGCCGGGGGGGGGGTCTTCATCAAAATTCTCTCGAAATTGATTTTATAGTTGTTTCTGATAGAGGGGAGTGATATCTATCAGCTGCTTTTGGTCCCATGGAAACATATTGTTCCTAGCCGAAATTATCGCTGGTCTATCTTGGACCTGGAAAAATCGTCAAAAAATGAGGTCCAAGATTTTCAAAATCGAATAAAAAAGTTTCTAAGGCCTATCTCAAAATTCGGCTCGATTGATCTCTTCTTAATGATCCCTAGAACATATCCTGAACGTTTCAGGGTTATTCCTCAAAAAATGTAGGAGAAGATAGATTTTTAGACTCGATTTTCAGGGCGCGCGATTAAAAATCGCTCGCGCAATACAATTACACATTTAAAGCGCTGACCTTCGACCAGCGATAATTTCGGCTAGGAACAATATTTTTCCATGGGACCAAAAGCAGCTGATAGATATCACTCCCCTCTATCGGAAACAACTATAAAATCAATTTCGAGAGAATGTTGATGAAGACCCCCCCCCCCTGCCCCCCAACTCCACAGTGCTTACCTTTTCAAAGGCTACAAGGTCGTGGAAGTTGCCGTGAACATCCCCCAGGATGTATGTAGGACTGGTAAGGTTGAGCAGACGCGGCTCCGTCACAAACACTTTTTGTACCTGTCAGGAAATTATATTGATTAAAACAAATTCATAAACTTCATCTGGAAGCATCTTGTGTCAATCGAGAAATAGTACAAAAATGTATCTCACACCGTAAACTCCAAAATTCTAACTCAACACGAACCTGTTCGGCGATACTAAGCATGCAAGTTCCCAGAAGGTTGGGGTCCACACACCCCCAGCTGAAGGCAGATTTGGGTATCCCCTGGTTATTTGGGTCACTCTTGATGTGTCTCTCAAAGTACCGCAGGCCCGACAACATCTCGTTAGGGTTGGAGTGCTAGGGGAAGAATGTGTCAGAGTCCAAATAAATGTGCAGGGCGATAACTTTAAATAAGAATTAAGGGGGTTACATTATAATCCCTTGTTTTAGTTGTTTATGTTAGTTTCTGATTGGCGCGATCAGTCTAGCAGACAGCAGCACTGGTTTATATAAATGTATAGTCTGCGTGTTTGGACGCTTATTTCAGACAAATTCTCCTGATTGACGTTTAATAGTTGCCGCTACAAATGTTAAAATATCTAGATATTCTAGTGGCATACTTTGCCAGTGCTGTACTTATAACGCTTTATGTCCAGACGAGCATGCCTTGTACTTGATAACCTGGTACAGTGATGATCTGTTCACTGTTACCATGAACCGCTGGAGTAGCTTTACAGCAGCGGCAAAACAGAAAGAATCTGCAATCATCACGGTATTTGCTCTCTCTCTCTCTCTCTCTCTCTCTCTCACGGTATTTGCTATTCGGGGATGTTTTCTTTGTAATCCAGCGGAATGATCCAACCTCTCATACGCACATACACACACACATACACACAAACGCACAATAAATGCTTGTCAGATTCACAGTTCGTCAGTTCAGTTCAACTTGTAAAGACGTGGTTTACCACTTGCTTGAGATGTTCGAACTTTCTCGAACCGTGGCCGTTTGTGTAAATTGCTAACCGCAAAGCAATTAGCAACCGCCAACCATCCCATTTTTATCCAATGCGAATAATTTAACTTTCTGTTCCTTTGTTTTCTGGTTCCAAGTTGAAGTTAGCTCTCTTAAAAGGAATGCTGGACATAAGCACAGAAATAAAGATATTCTACTAGAACAACAGTCAGGACTCTTTGAGGACTCTTTGAGTACTTATTAGGTCAGAGAGAGACTAACTTCTGCCAGTTTGTTCCTGTGTCCTGAGCCGCGTACGTTTTGGTTTCCATAGCAAATACCTTTTATGTTTGTTGCTTGATCAATTTCACATAGCTGCTCAGTTTTACAAGTTAAGTTAAGTTGGTTTTCTTCGGTATTCTGATCATGAAAAGCAATATCAACAAGGTTGGACTCATTGTACTTTTCAAACAAGTCATACATGTTCTTCTCAATAGATACATAGATTGTCGCATAATATTAATTATATATTATGCGACAATCTATGAACGTACATAATAAAGTGAACGATCTCGGCCCGGAGGGTCAGCAGTCTGCCCTCCTGATTCTTCCGAGTCGGAACAGTTACTACCACAAACCAGGATACCCACAAACCAGAATACCCACAAACCACACTAAAGAAAACGCCATCTTTCTTTCCTGGCAATCACAGCCTGCCAGTGAACTGTCATCTTATAATTTAACGGGAATGACAATGCCATCCTGCGTAACCACTCACCACTGTCCGTGAGCAAATAATGAATAATTGATCAGCGGAGACACGACGAAACGGTAAATTTTAAATTCCGTTATTATCCTCAGTATCCTACGTCAACGTGATATTCATGTCTATTGTAATAAACATAATATGTCGGTTTCTTTACTATCCGTTATAATATCAGATAACGTGACTTATCATTAAAAAATCAGTTATTTGTGTTTGTTGCTTTCTATTCTTTGCGTTGTTTCCTTTCTTTATGTTAAGAAGCCCACCTCTATACCACACGTACTAGTAGTTATAACCTGCTAAACGGTAGATTTGCCATTTATACCAGACATGTAATATTGGATGGTACTGCCAATATGATTATTAGAATCTCTAGTTGATTAATGGATAGTGCTGGCTATTGACACTGTGAGCCCTCTGTACTACGGACAATCTTGTAGACAGTCGCTTCACACGACATGATCATTGCATTTAAGAAGTCGTGATCGTTGCAATTAGTAGCTTGTAATGGCCATCTGCTTGTCATTACCTAGTCTATCAACTATTTACTGTGTGATTCTGTCTGCCTCATCCGAGTCATTCACTTAGAAATCCTCCAGGCTTGATTGTTATTCCATTTAACTCTACTACAAGTAATAACCAATAAAATAAACTTACAAAAATAAAGCCGCACTCAAATTTGAATTTCATAATTCGTCCGGTCCCGTTTTGAGTCCCTTTTCAGTCATTTACAGCACTTTTAGAATCTCTAAACAATCGCAGATTTCGAGTTAGTAAGTTAGTAAGTGCTACTCTTCCAACCTTCCTTTGTTTACATATAATTATACGTACATGTACATAATATGATAATATGAGTCTACGTTAATAGAGTCCATATTGATTCGTGGGTTTACTGCTGACATGTTATATCTAGTTGTAGCTATTTTGAACTCATCTTACAATTTACTATTTTCTTTCCATCACTAAGTTTGTATCATTCATAACATTAGGCAAGCTCTACCTGTTACAGCAATTATACAGCAATTCATCAATTATAGCTTGAATCGTTTTAAAGTATCAACGTATTTCGTGCGAGCTAAGCCATATTTGATAACATTCTCACAGACAATCTGATAGGTATGTAAGAGAGAGAGAGAGAGAGAGAGAGAGAGAGGTATGTAAATTGTAAGAAGCACTCGAAATACAGCAGTGTGACCAACAAAACCAGATGGCAGAATCAACACTCTCCACCTCGCAATACACACTTGGTTCAGACAATGGGACAATTCACAGTTTTTCTACCAACACCACAGATTTTGAACTAAGCGGTCAGCTGAACGACCAGGAGCGGCTTTACCTGCTTGTTTACCATTGTGCCATGTTCATTATAGGAACAATTAGCAACGCCCTACTCTTCATATGTACTCTCACATTCAAGCAACAGCAGAACACGCACAGCGAGACAGTGTCCGCTCTGCTGGGCAGGGACAAAGAGAGCAACTTCAGGATCAACAGGGTGGTGATCTTGGAGAACTTATCCTTTAACGGTCTCATGATTTGCTTGGCGGTAATCGCGCCAGTGGTAACGACCCACACTGTCAAATACTGGGCTCTAGGTCATGTGATGTGTAAACTGATAGCGCAGAGCACGGAGATTTTGTACACTTCGGGGCTATTGGTATACTTTACAATGTCTTTACACCGGCTGGGAGTTGTGGTTTGTCCTTACACCAAAGTCAAACCTACGGAGGTAAAGTTTTTCCAGAATCTTTTTATACTTGAGATATTTACATGAAGGTATTTCATTGATGATTTGCAAATATGGTATTTTCTTCTTCGGAAGGAGAATGCTATGCTTCTCGAAGTAGGAATAATGATTAATGAGAAATAGAACATTTGCCTAGAAGAGAATTAAGATAACTTGCCCTGTTCACTGTTGTTCAACCAATTTTATTTCAGATCCGTCTACTAACAATGTGGTTGTGGGTAGGAACCACCTTCATGGTGATATTCCTGAACATATTCGTCTTATCCCACGCAGAATTCGACCAGTTTCACGGTACCTGTTCCATTCTTAACCAGGCCTCATTCCTACTACCTCGTTTCGTGATCTACTCTGTCCTATACGGCGGCTCACTTCTGACAATTTTCACCTGCGCTGTCTTACTCTCGGTGAAATCTTTCTGCGGGAGAAACCCAGAGCTGGATTCGTCACTGGCGCCGAGTTTGCTGTTTTACACCTTCGCGTGGACAGGGCTGCTCGTTAAAATGGTCTCTGTATCTTTCGAGTGGCCCTTGTCCCCGCTAGCTGATGTCGTGACTACGAGCGCCCCAGAGTTGCAGGTCGCGCTGAATCCTCTTCTGGTTTTCTGGCGACACACTCAGCTAAGAGAGACTCTTTCAGATCTTTTCAAATGTGTGGCATGCAGAGCAGTGGGTTCAGGAGACGACGAAATGGAAATGGAGGATTGAAGACACTGGTTATTTGCGAAATTATGGGAGAGAATCAGAAAATAACAAAATTTAACAGATTTACTTTTTTACATTAAATAATTACACTTTTTAAAATCAAATATCTTATTTCATAACGAGGGATGTGCATTTAATCAATTATTTCATCAGATCTTATATTCAATGTAAAACCAGACGTCGGTGCTTTCCTTTTCTGAGTAACCTTCTAAAAATAATCCCATAGTTTCCCAGACAATATTATGCGGACATTGCGATAAGAAACTCATATAAAAACCTTTGTGTCGGTACTTCTGATAACTCAGTAGAACGGATATGGAGGTTAATTATACGGGGCTCACCTCATTAAATGTATCGACTGAGTGGCTTCTGTCGATAACGAGAGTGTTATAGAGATTACCGTCCTTCTGTTTAGCTTCCTCGTTAGCGCGGCACAGTTGTGCGGAGCTGAGAGTCATGGCCAGATTCTTGACTTGGTCACTTGAGGGTGTAAGGAGATTATTTAACAGAGTTTTTTAGTCCTGCTGATATAATATATAAGCTGTTTGAAGGTCTAATATTCTAACAAATGAAGCGTTACAGTTAGAGTATCACAGTTACAGTTAGAGTATCACAGTTACAGTTAGAGTATCACAGTTACAGTTAGAGTATCACAGTTACAGTTAGAGCATCCCAGTTACAGTTAGAGTATCACAGGTACAGTTAGAGTATCACAGTTACAGTTAGAGTATCACAGTTACCTGTCCCAGAGAACTGCTACGTCGCTGATTGTGCCCGTTCTTCTTACTTTAACCGTGTGCATGGCCAACTCATATTGCGGATCTGGATGGTGTTTTTTATGTCATATCACTCATACTTTATGCTTTCTAACCAATAAGATATCAGCTTTAAAATAAAGTTAATTCGAGCATAAGATTAAGAATCATTTCTTATTCATCATTACAAACCTCCTGGTTTGACGTTGTCATTGACGTCATTTGCTGAAAATGTCATTCCTTCCACATTCATATCCTTCGCTTCCTCGTCATTTTTCTGCGTTACCTGCACGTTAACTGTCTTCAGACATCCAATACGTTAAATTTTAACTGTACACAAGTAACTTTACGGTATGTACCTTCATTTTTACATAATATGATGCTAATAAATATTCAAAATATCACTCAACATCATGCCATATTGATTATTTGGTAGTCTAAGCGAAACTTACTGGGGCTTGTGGACTTCTGACTGCGTCATATTTAACGGCAGATTTCTGTAGTCGGAAGAGGGAGCTCGTTCCCCTGAACTTCAGCATACCAACCGCTGTCAAGAATTCAGTGAGGTACAAGGAAGACTTATCCTCCGAGCTGAACACTCTGAAAGAACATGTTTGTTAGATTTGATAACAAAAGAACTACAGCACAAAAACATGTATAGTATAGGCTACAATAAAATAATTCATATAGGTTAGGTAAAAGCGCACTCATCATGTACGTGACTGACCAACAACGTGCTATTGTTTTCCAACTACAAATTTAAATGAAAGTCGAAGAAATTGTTTTCGTCACTCTTTATCAATTTAATATGGTACGTTCCATCGAAATTTGCCCCTATCATCTACCAGCAATTTCCTATGATCATTGAAAAGAACCCTCCTATCGCAACTTAAATCGGTCGTTAACTATTATTTATTTTTAATAAAATTAAATAATTGAATTAATTCTTGCTTAGCTTGCTTGCGCGTCTTGATTGCGCAGTATATTCTACGAAAAGATTATCGCGCGTTACGTATTGACATGTCGGAAGACCCTTTTTTACTTGGTCAGCAGGATTCCCTGTATAGAAATATAGGCCCAGAGTTTAATGAAATGCCGGTGCTTTGGTTAAGTACTCAATATTTTCAGACAATTTCAACTGACTTGTGGTTAATCCGATCGAGTTACAACAATTTTAAGATCATGTGCGAATCAAGGGCTATTAAAATCAGTGGAACTAGTTTAGTAATTGCACGATAACTTTCCTCGGTTAAAGATAATTTTCGAAACGTTTTAACGTGATATCACACAATAAATCAACTGCATGTTACACGATTACGCCTGATATTGAACTCGGCTTCGCCTCGTGTGATTAACAGGCTAATCGGCACTCAGTTGCAAGACCGCATATCCGGGCCTATTGGCGTACATAACACAGCATTAACGATCATTATAGTACACCGTCTGCATTCATTTGAATGGAATTTTAAATATTTCGAGCAAAATGATCTTATAGAACAGTGTACTGACTTGGCTAGTTGAACGGCTTCTTCGTGGATCCCTTCAGTAGAAATGTCGGGATTCTTCAATCTCTGAATATCACCGACCATGTGGCTGAGAAAAGATATATTTATAGACTGATATTCATAATTAGTTTTCCCCTCTTCCCAAAAATATGTCATCTGTCAGTTGAATTATATGAGGAAGTTAATTACTTTTCACTTACCAGAATTCCGTGAAGTCAAGTTTACCATCCAAATTTTTGTCGTAGTATCGGAATATGTATCGGCACCTGGTGCAGTGGGACGAAAGATTCAGTTCAAGTAGTGACAGAGTAATTTAAAAATATAGAAAGGTGGAATTCAACGTTGAATCATTCAATAACATAATGAGTCAATATACTGGATAACAACTAGCACTGACGGTCTGAATCATGCCTAAAACTTATATGCACTCTTCAAAGATCTATAACTTTTGAAAGTTTGGAAAGACTCAATTTCCCAGTTTCGACTACAATCTCGACCAGTCACTTTGCCGGGCCACGCCGATTGTTCTCATTCACAACCACACAATTTGCCCTTACTCTGCACGATAACGAGCAGTACATGAGATGCAGCCACCATTCCTTGCCTCATAAACACAAAACACAATGATATTTTGTTTATCCCTTCATTCATTTATTCGACCTTGAGCACAAAATAATACCAAGTGCGGTGAGCAAGTTCGTTACTGCTTGCATATTTTAACCGCGAAATGGAACTACATCACATTTTCACAGTAAAATCATGCTACTTTGTGTCAATATGTTCCGTGAATATCCCCGGGATTACTCGAGCACGAGATCATAATAATATGCGTAATTTCACCCTACATAACCATTTATTTCCTATCATTTGGTGTATCGCACCTAACTTTCACAATTATATCTTATTTGGACGTTCCTCCTAGTATTACAGCTAGTGTAACCTTTAACCTGCCTGTAATAATATTAAGTTTTATTTAACGACGGTGAGAGTATCAACTATCACTACATTTTAACACACGGCTCACAGTGCAGGGGACCCTTTACACAATAACAAGGGAGTATGTGTTCGAAGTTTGAATCTAGGTTGGGGGCCGGGGGAGGGGAGAGAGGGGACCTGGGGGCCTGGGGAGGGAGGGGACCTGGGAGGGAGGGGACATGGGGACCTGGGGGCCTGGGGAGGGGAGGGAGGGGAGGGAGGGGAGGGAGGGGAGGGAGGGGAGGGAGGGGAGGGAGGGGAGGGAGGGGAGGGAGGGGAGGGAGGGGAGGGAGGGGAGGGAGGGGAGGGAGGGGAGGGAGGGGAGGGAGGGGAGGGAGGGGAGGGAGGGGAGGGAGGGGAGGGAGGGAGGGGGCCAGGGGAGGGGGGAAGATTATTCGCGATATATTACCTCATTTCCGCAGAAGAGCTGCCGTGTGGTGTATTAGGATCCATTGCAGCGAGCCCCAATATAAACTCCTGGCTTGTTATCTCGTTATCCTTCTTTATGTCAAACGCTCTGAAAAATTGTGATATTTTCGTAGGAAAAGGCAAAGTGAAGTTTCCTTGGAATATATTTCTATATTTAGATTCCTAGCGAAATGTAACATAATATACCACTCAAAGAATTTACTAATCTGAGTTTGAAGACCGGGCTTTAGTACCCCAGAAGTTAAATAACAAACCTGAAGAAGTCAGGGGCTTGATCGGGAGGGAAACCGAACCCAGCCATGAGCTGGGTAAATATCTCCAGTGAAGCTGTGTTCTGCGCTCCACAAACTCGATCAAAGTACTCCATTATTAACGACTGTTCTGTGAAAAGTAGGTATAATTATCATAATATTATGAGTGTTTTATCGGAAATTTGTGCCTCAAATTTAACATTGAGTTAGCAAATATGCTTGTTAAAGTTTTTGTCTTTACGACTCAATTTCATTTGAGGTTACCGATATCATGAAGCGGATGTTTTAAACTGTTACGAATCAAATAATCCTGTTCAGGAAAAAATCCAATTTGGCATGCTATAGTACTGAGAGGACGTATTCATATTAGAGAAGGCGCAGTCCAGCAATTTTGTATTCGGTCCATTTATTTTTACTTTTAAAAATCTTTAGAATTTCTTTAGAACGTATAATAATTTCAATAAGCTTGTGACGTCATAATATGACTAAAATGCATGATGATTTTCTTTAAAGTTGAATTAGGACAAACGAAAGCTAGGGGTAGGTCACTGTCGGCTAGTATAAAAGTAACAAGTTCAAACGTCCGGCCGAAACATGCCTACTTCTCGTTGACAGAATCATGATAGGTATTAGGTATAATTAGTATGATAACCCCAAAAATATGGAAGCAGGGTTTTAATACCATAGAAGTTTTTATTTAAATAAAAGTGTAATTTTATACTTTGGCTTTTACTTTTCCTGCAATAATGCGACAAAATATTCGCGTTACGATAATTATTGACAGTGTAAGTTGATATTTATTTTTGAACAATTTCATTATTTCTAGTGAATTAATCAATAGGAATATTTGAAATCTGAATCCAGCCGTATCAGCGAAATCAAAAACAAATTAACCAAGTCACAGAACCGGAAACGTTTGAACACATAAAATTCATAATATATAATATATAACATCGGACAAATCTACAATTCTCAAAAACACGTACCTCGAGGCCCAAAATGAGCAGCGTCAAGTAGATACCGATGCATTTTCATCTGTATAGAAGAGTAAACTATCTTGGCATTACATCCGCACGACCGGCTCATGTGCATGCGGCATTGCTGGGGAGGCGGTGTACCTTCCACTGCTAGCAGCGAGAGCGGGTAGATCTGACCATCTGAAACATTACAAAAATTTAAATTATTAGATCAGGTTCGGATCTTCGACAATCCGCCTTGGTGATTTGGTGTTAGGAAATGTCTCTATCATGTACATTGTACAAATGTACATCCATTCTATTACTTGGATGAAGTAATAGATATTTCCATATGTTAAGGAGCAACTACTTGAACTGTAGGAAGTGTCTATTCTAGAAGTTCCAGTGTACACTAGAACAGTTCTTACTAACACCATGTTTTGTGAGAGCTGGGTAACATACCAGCGTGCTTACATTTGAACTACAAGCATGATCAATAACATTAACTTAGAGCTGGCTCTCGTGGAGGGTTTCCTAGTTCTCGTTATAAAGCTTACAAATAGGTACTCTGCCAGTGCTCGGAGCAACTCCTAGGGGTCCAACTTGAAACTTCCTTACGTTTGTAGTAATGTAGCAGCTAGAGATCTCTTCGTCAATAATATTAACCTAGAGCTCCACTATTGGGTGCTGCTCCGGTCCGTAACAACTTGTAAAAAGTCATTTTCTACCGGTTTAAGTCATTAAATTGAATACAACTATATCTAAGACCTGAATGAGAGCACAGTTATATAGTTTGTTTTTGTAAATCTTTCTGGCATTGGATGCTATTTCACGAGACAACAGTAGCCAGTAGGCTTTATATTTTTATACCGTCAATAGAGTGGCAGAGTTCTAATGTGACCCTAACTCAAACTGCACTAAATTTAGAACAATGGATCAGAATCCAGATGCGAGAGAGCTATAGGACAATTAAAGAAACAATAGAAATCAAGTTTCTATCGACTGAATGCTTATAATCTATTGCTCTTTGTTGGTAGGCTTCTACTCCTTCTGATTTGAATACTGCTGCCATTATATAGCAACTGAGTAGTATCTAATGTCATATTTTCTTTGAGATTTTCTCTTTCAAGTAAATTAAAGCGGCCATCACCCTTTCTACACCAACTCGGGGGGGGGGGGGGGGGGGGGACCAACTGTGGACAATACCTCTTCACCTCGATCAAAAACATGCCAACAAAATTGCAGTGGACACATTGTGACTTATACGTGTTCACCGTGTACCAGGTGCGTAATATTAGTATTACATTGTCTGGAACATAATATGAGACATTGAACATCAATCTTAATGAAATGCGTTATATGTACGTGACTAGTGCCCGGTTATGTGTGACCAGTTGTGTGTGAGCGGATATGTGTGACCAGTCATGTTATTCTCGTCTTATCAGTTTAAACAACAAATCCAATGAAGCGGTTTTTTTCTAATTCCTAGGGTTTTTTTCCCTGATTCAGGCGTGAAAATGAACGATGCAAATTTCGTGTCATTGTCTTAATTAGATTATGCACTATGCAGTTGTACTGAAAGTATTACCACTAAAATACCACTCATAATACTTTTAACCGATAACCATCTCCGATGATTTGTTATAAAAAGTTATCTGTTTATTTAAATGTATTAATCTAGAGATAAAACCTAATTTTTTGAAAAGATCAAAAACGATCGTATAAAACATTTACCGCACGAAAGTGATGATTAATTAGATTTCGAATGCCATGAGCCTTAATATCTAAGGCTTCAACAGTTAAAAGTACAGCGTTTTTACAGTATTATTTTTCGAAAGATTTACGGACTTGATTAGTGAATTACTGATAACAATGACCCCCAAAATCGGTGTCCGTCTTCGCTGGCTTGCAGATCTGAATTCTGATGGGGAGCTGAAACATGACAGCCTTTAACCAACGAGATTCCAGCCTTGCAAGGGTCACTGTCACGTGCCCAAACAAACAACTCCTCAAAATAATCCACATCTGTTGCTTAACCTTAAATATTGTATTATATTATCTATTGCTAAATTAATAGGTATCGTTTTTAGTTGTGTCATTTCATTTCCAATGTTACACTTTGTAGGAACTGATATTAACCGAGTTTCTGATTCAGGATGTTACTGAAGATAGTAATGAAAATGTTTTAACACCTCAGTACTGTGTTTTACTACAGCTCAACCTGCTCAGTCTGACTATTTGGGAATTTAAACACTTGATATTTGTACTACAATCATGACGGCAGTGGAAGAGGGAAGTGAATTATCTGGAGACATAGGAATGACCCAACCCTGTGTGCTACCCCCAAGAAAACATAAGAACTCTAAGAGAACACTCTCAAAGAACTTTTCGGATTATTCACCATCTCAACAGCTTAGTATACACCGGTTAAGACTATGGTTCCTCAGGAATTGCCGCTACTTGAAGCGTCCTCCCCCCTCCCTACGATCTAAAGGAGCTACTATCGTAGAATCACCGGAGATGTTCCGTAACCTGTCCATCTTAGAGTCACAGAACCTAGAGTTGGCTATCAAAGCCAAAGATCTCCAGATCAACGAACTCAGAGGTACAATCAGTAGCGATGAACCGCAACTAACACTACCACCAAACGACGTGAAGAGCCTGAAGAAACACTACATTTCTAAAATAGAGTTCTACAGAAGCCAAAACAACAACAAGTGGAAACACTGGCCCAACAAGACCAAAGCTCTCCTCCAAACTTTACTGACACAGACTAAGAAAAGGAGGAATTTCAAAAAGCGACAACACCGGAACGACAGGAAAGTTGAACGTGACGCCAAAAGAGCACTGGATACAGGAAGTGTTGTAGTGTTGGTTAACGAAGACATACCTGCTGGGGCACTGGCACTGTTAGGAAAAGGACTAGGCTATATCCCAACCCCAACTCGGGATAACATCGACTTGAGACTTGACATGAAGCTCGTCACCAACAAAATACTGAACTATTCTAATAGAGTACTTTCCGGAGAGACAGGATTACCTAACATAAGTAACCTCCCCGCCAAACTCCGTAGAAAAAACTACTCTACAGCAAAACCAAGCAATGAACAAGCAGTCAATACAGCAGTGGACACAATGAGACGAGAACTCGACATCAAATTGAAGACTGCCGGAAGCCCACCTAAGCCCACCAACTTATCCTCTTCTGAGATAAAAGGACTCAAATGGTTGGAACAGCGCATTAAAGATGGGACAATAGCCATCACTAAGGCAGACAAGGGTGGTGCAACCCTTATTATCGACCCTGACCTCATCAAGCAACGGACACTGGAGAAACTGGAAAATCAGGAACTATATGAAAAGTTGGACTGTGACCCTACCCAACAGCTGTATGAGAAACTCTTCAAGCACTGGGTACAGGGAAAAGAAGAAGGACTGATATTAGCAAGGGATGCGAAAGAAGTGATGGGTGTTTCTGACAACACCAGAGCAGACCAAACTGGACCCACAAACCGCCCCAGTACCCTCCCTCACTATCGCCCCGGCCAGCCGTATTTCTACCCTGCTTTTAAAATTCATAAGCTGAAGAAAGAAGAACTCATACCAGGGGCCAAACCACCAGCAAGACTCATTACCGCCCTCCACGAAGGAGCCAGCAGACGACCGGATGTCTTCCTAGCTGATAAATACCTACGTCAACTAGAAAGGGATTTTTGCGAAGACCTTCTTATTGATAATAGAGACGCCTTAGTCTGGCTCGACAACATCAACAATACCCTGGACACAGAACTCAAAAGCAACATTAAAGCATTCACATTTGATTACAAAGCTTTATATGATTCATTGAGTCCCCACCTCACACTCCAAGCTTTGAAGGTGGCCATGGAAGAAAAGAGACCAGAATGGTCCGCCAAATTTAAGGAGTGGTTGATAAGAAGTGTTGAACTCAGCTATGAGTCGTCTATAGGCAAATTTAACGGAGAGTGGTACAGACAAAAACGAGGAGTACCGACAGGAGGCAGTATCTGTGTACAACTTGCAAACATAGCAGTATACCATGTCATGCGTGAGCAAGTCTATTCAGACACGGAACTAATGGAACCTGTAAAATCGGTCAAGAGATACATAGACGACGGCTGTGGAGTATTCCATGGTACGAAAAGACAGTTTTCAAAATTCATCGCGACTGTCAATACAAGGCTAGCAGAACTTGGCCTCCACATTGATGAGAACATCATAGAAGATAACAATGTTTATGTGGCGTTCTTAGACATAAAATTTTGTTTCGACACCGCAGGTGATCTTCAGACAGACCTCCATGTTAAAGAGACTGATGCTCGCTCTTACCTGTACTTCGGTTCCCACCACCCGAACCATACATTCAGCAGCATAGTCTATAGTGCATGCCTGAGACTCCGGCGAATCATCAATGATAACGACAGACTCCGAAAACAAATTGATGAATTAAAAACCTTTTTCTTCCAATCCAACTACCCTAAAACTATGGTAGATAACATCAGTGAAAAAGTCAAAGGCTTTGAAAGATGCCTCAAACCACTGGACAACTCAAACAGCAGTGTCCTGGTCCCAAAGTCTCCAGAACCAGCAGTCCGCGTTATTTCAACATTTGGCAGCGATCAAGAGTTAGTAGAATCGGTAAAAAGATTGGAACCAGAACTCAGTAGAACCAGGAGCTTCTCAGGATTATCTGGTTCCCATACAAGTGGAAACACCCCAGGCTCCCCAATATCATCTAGAGCCGGTACATCACGCCCTATCTTCAAATTCGTCAGACGTACTGGAACATCATTTAGAAGGAAGTTAGTCAAAGCAAAACAGTTTGCGGATGACTTAACCCAACCTCACACAAGACCATGTGGGGGCAGACACTGCGGTACCTGTAACATCATATCTCCACATCCATCAATAACAGTCAATGGACAGCGAGCCAAAGCAGTGTCTGGTACATGTGTCAGCTACAATGTTGTATACATCTTCAGTTGCCAACTTTGTAATATGTGTTATGTAGGAAGAACGGTGCAGCCCCTAAGGGCACGAGTAAACGAACATCGCGCCCATTACTACAAACTCATTTCGGACAATACGTTTGTCCCTGAAGAAAACGACGACGGATTCAGCTTGGGTAAACACCTTGTAGAAGTTCATAACATGAAACAACGTGACAATTTCAACCAGGCTTATAAAGTGTCAATTCTCAGTAATAGTAGTCCAAGAACTCTAGAAGTAGATGAACACCGTTATATTCAGAAACTAAGAACTATACGTCCATTGGGGCTCAATGCCGTGGACCCGTTTGGGATTCCATTATTGGATTTATCTTAAAGGTTTTCCATTGCATTGGGGCACAAAAGTTATGTTTTAAAAAATATTCATAGGTATCGTTTTTAGTTGTGTCATTTCATTTCCAATGTTACACTTTGTAGGAACTGATATTAACCGAGTTTCTGATTCAGGATGTTACTGAAGATAGTAATGAAAATGTTTTAACACCTCAGTACTGTGTTTTACTACAGCTCAACCTGCTCAGTCTGACTATTTGGGAATTTAAACGCTAAATTAAAGATATTTGAAATTAAATCATCGATTTTATCAGTTTAATCCTGCTTCGAGAGATTGACAAATTAGTAAATTACATTTGTCTGGAAAGTTATAAATAAATTCTAACATTTATTACAGGCTTTGACATTAAATATACCCAACGAAGTTGTACATTCAAGTCATTCAAGCGAGACTTATAATGGAAATATCAAGATTTTGCACTTCTATATCAGATCAGAATTTATGGACAGTTAATAGTATGGACAATTTTGTATCGGTTCAAATATTAGGAATATAATTAAAAGTTATGGTGGAAATAAAATGTTTTTAGGGTATTTTAAAAACATTTTACAGTTGATAATTCTCTCACTGAGTAAAGCAGTTTATTCCAAATTTTTGGTCCACGAAACATAAATGCAGCATCCGTTCGTCTGAAATGTGGTGCAGGAGGAACTTTCAGCAAATAAAAGTCATCATCTAGTCTGGATAGTTAAAAGTGCGTTTAAACATATTATGTATTAATTAGGCGCATTCAGTATTAATTACGTCACTAAAACGCCCAATATGAACAGCGACACGAACCTTGGGAGATATATTCGGCAAATTGTAGGGGTTCAGGTTTTCTGAGGGCACACATTTTGATCTCTGATAGTTTCATCCATTTTTTCTTCACAACTACTTCTGATACGGGATATTCTGTTGTGTCTGCTGGTTGCTGGGAGAAATTCACTTTTATTAACTAACCCAAAATAAACAGTCAAAATAATTAAACAAGGTAATAATTTAAGATCCCGATATATAATAACGGAAGTATAGACCTAGATTCTGGTAGGGGCCGGAGGTGAGGCATATTTTTGTACACATGAAAGAAATTAACCAATCACGTTCCATTATTGACCATTCAAACCCCAGAATCACTGTCACGTGTCAAACACAATATACCTCACCAGTCGCCTTCCCACCACAATTTACATATAATAATGTTGCGTGTTTCACTTATTATCATTTATATCATTTAAGCTCAAATTATAATCGTAGCTTAAATGTTAAATAGCATATTAATATGATACCATAAAGTTTACATTTAGTTGAAGCTTTACCGAAAATTTAAAAGCAATAACAGAAAAGACGATGTCTAAATTTTCAATAAAAATTCTAAAGTCATGTATCGTAACTTTGAGTTGAAAACATGGAGATGGATAAGGGGAACACTTACTGCGTAGAAGATTGTTCTGAAACGAGCCTGATCATTGGCGACTAAAGTGTGTTCCAGCCTCAATACTCCCTTTAGATTCACGTTGATACCACCGTCCTGCAATTTATTCAAATTACTCATGTCCTAGGGTAATCAGCCCTATTTGGAATAGATAACCGTCGTCCTGCCATGGACTCTTGTCTCTTACCATAGCCCCAACGCTATGGTACTACTCAACAGGGGTTGGAGCCTCGAGGTTCTGGCTCTGGGGCGGTGCATTGTTAAAGACCCGTTTATGCGAGATTTTTTGTAACACAAAGAAATTAGTCAAAGTAGGTACCCGGACCATTGACAAAATAATGCTTTATGCATGAGCATTGCAAGCGGCGGGGGTTCCTGCTTTATTTTGGCAAGCAAACGTTGCTTACTCCCCTTATGTCATTAGAAAAACGATGCACATTATCCTCGATTATAATTATATTGACGCCACGAACTTGTGATAGCTGGGCCTTTGGTTTTATTTCTATAACGATCTTTACATTTGTGCTACGCAAGGTGTAGTGAATTCTTGAAATATACGTTTTGATTTTATTCCGACTTGTTTCTAGCTTTGCTCATAGCAAAGCAACCAGTGCAGTGACCTCATATCACGAGTGGCTGCTGCTGGAAAAGCAGAAAATTCGTTGACATTTGAGATAGGGCATGATCACAGTTAGTCGGACTGTAAACACTATCGTATTGTGTAAGTTCAAAATCCGGCAAACCGGAAAATAGATAGATATCCGACTGTTTCCGGTCCGGCAGCCAAAACCCCAAACGGCAAACCAGTCGGTTTCTATTCTCAATTAGTATCATAAAACTATGCGCTTTTAGCTTACCAATATTACAATACAACTGAATGTTCAAGTTCTATAAATTTTGTGCGATCGCGATGTAAAGTCAGTAAGACAATGTGTTACGCCTTCTGGTCCTTTTACGATATGTTTTCTAATCAAAAATGTTAACAAGAAACGTTTGTATTGTTGTTATATCTGTTTACACTCTTCACTAAGCCTCTACAATTGCAGAACTAGAAAATGACAGTTTGTAAAGTGTCGTGGATGGTAATCTTCTTGTTTGCTTCTCTCACAGGTAATCCTCTATATATATCTTCTTATCTCTATTTTACGATTAAATATTATTACATAATTACCCTGTCTCCGTTTAACGAGTCCCAACTCTCTTTCCTCAAGTAAAGTACCCATTAATAGTTATCGCAAACATGAAATAGCACTGATTACTGAGTGCAGTGGACTAAAAGTTATGACTTTCCACAAATCAGGGAATGTTCTAGATGGCAGAATCTCACTCACTCCCAAATCTCGTAGGTATATATTATATAACTTTATTCAAATCAAAAATAGAACATAAAGAACATCTTGATGACCTGATAAGTCACCAAGAGAAAAATAACACAGAATAAACTAAGTCATGCTTAACTCTCTCCATGCTTTTCTATATGTTGCTAAAAGTCTTAAATGGTATAAATCGTCTGTATTTACAAGTCTAAAGTTTTTGTCACTTAAATCGTTCAAAATAGTTTTTAACAAGTTTGACTGGTGTCGTCCGACTCTACCTCTCATCAAACTCTGACTCTCTACAGCAAAATGTAAGGCAAGCTGGGCAGGTGAGTTATTATCACTGCGGAGGATGTGACCGAGCATTCTCCACCGTGCACGAGCAACACGCTCACTTAGTGGAACAACTTCGCAGCGTTTGTATAGAGTCACATTTCGTATGACATTAGGGTAGGTCATGCCGATGATCGTACGGAGATGATTCCTGTGGCAGACATCAAGTTTTTGAAGGAGTTGTTTAGATGTTGCCCAACTGTTGCAATTATACATCAGTATTGAAACAACTTGTGCTTCATATATCTTGAGTCGAATCTTCAAGGGTATACGTCTACCTTGTTCCCAGACTTTTTTGTAGTTCTGAAAAGCAATGTTAGCAAGTATACATCGTCTCTTGACATCTTCGATGCTACACAACTTAGAGCCTAAAGAGATAGATGACCTCCAAGGTTCTCTACCTCTGAGTGTCTCTCCTTTGTTATCGACCTCGTTCTTGCCGGCCAGATAGAAGTGGGTGAACTCGGTTTTTGACTCATTGACAAAAAGATTCCACTCTTCCAATATCTCTTTACATATTGGCAACAAAGACTCCAAATTGCTTTTATCCTCATCAGTAAAATCAACATCATCTGCGTACTCCCACTCGAGGGGTAACAGATTCTCAGCTATGGGAGGGTTAGGTCTTAGATAGGACATAACAGCACGCAGGTGGTAAAGTGCTGCTGCCAGATATAGAGTGAACAAGTTTCCAGACAAACTGTCGCCTTGAAAAGCTCCAATCGTGACAATAAACTCTCCCGATATTGTTGAGTTCACTTTGATCTTCAGTTTAGTATTTGCGAGCAAATACCTTACCAGTCGAATGTCATCCTCACTACAACCAGCATCAGCTAAAATGTCAAGTAATACCGACCTCTTTATGGTATCAAAAGCAGAGGACATGTCAATGCCCATCTTATGAAGAGACCAGCGTTTTTCCTTGACAACTGAAACTAGTATTCGCTGGGTCCAAACGATATTTGCACAACTATGGCCAGGTTTATAGGCATTCTGCCAAGGACCAGTGTACTGAGATACTTGCCTTTGGATGCGCTTTAAGACTATCATGGACAATATCTTTCTAGTACCGTTTAGTAGGCAAAGTGGGCGCAAACTCTTAGGGGGGCCTAGTGGCTTTCCAGGTTTTTGGAGCGGAGTAAGGTATCCCTCTGTGAAAGAAGGTACATGTTCATGGAGCTCAAAGGATCGATTAGTAAGTTGTGCAAATGTGGAAAAAAATATTTCAGGAGAGTGTTTGAGGAACTCGTTTGGGATCCCATCTGGTCCAACAGCTTTACCGTTCTTGAGTTTCTTGGCCGCAAGCTCAACTTCAAACGCTGTAATGGGGTTTTGAAGGGGCCTAGGGTTATCTGTGAACGGTTCTAGTGGTGGTTCACTGTCAGGTCCAGTGTAGTGTTCTTCGAAGTACTGGCGAATGATTTCAGCCTTGTCTCGTTCATTATCTACCAGTTGGTTGTCAGTGTTGAAAACAGACACAGAGCCCGCACCCGTTTTCTGTTTGCCTGATAGTTGACGAGCAGCTTCAAACATTCTCCGTCCTTCGTCTATGGTGGCTATAGAGTCAGCTAGGCTGTTTGCTAACTCAACTCTCAATTTTTTCAACCGTTTAGTAATGTCGTTTGAGAGCCTGTTGATATTAGCTCTGAGAGCTGTCCTGTCTCTGTATTCGTTGTTGTTCAGTTGTTGTAAAAGTTGTTTCCTTTCTTCAGACATGCTAACAACTTGACTGTCAGAGGAATGATTCATCTTTCGCTGTGGCTCGCGAAAACCCACAGTGGAAACAGCAGCTTCTTTAACTACACCAAAAAGCATATCAAATTGCTGTTCCGTGTTGTTGGAGGTAAAGTCAGGATCTGATACAGTTTGCTCAAGTTTCTGATGAAGTTCTTGCTGATATTGTTGTTGAACTTGTTTGCTTCCAATCAAGGTTGTTGTGTTATAACTCTTCTGAAATGCTCTGCTCTCCCCGTACAACTTGAAGCGCTGCGAAAAATCTGCCTTGGCAACAACAAGTTTGTGGTCACTGCGGTGCGTTGTACCTGCATATGACCTGGCATCAGTTAGCAGTGCCTTGCTTCTGGACTTGCAGAGTATGAAGTCAATCTGTTGAAATAAGGTTTACTTTTCCTGGTTGCTCGATCCCGAATCCAACCAGTCCGTGTGGTAATGTGTCTGCTGTTATGGGAGAATGAAGTGTTGGCAGCAAACAGGCCATTAGCAGTGAGAAAGTGTAGCAACCGTTCACCGTTTTCATTCCTCCTCCCAACACCATGTCTACCAATATTCACATGTAAACCATTTTCTACATCAACAGGGCTTCTTTTGCCAAGTTTGGCATTAAAGTTGCCTAACATCCATACTTCAAATCTAGCAGGAACACTGATAGCCTCGAGTAGCTCATCATAAAATTGGGTTGCTAATCGGGGATTCTGAACTAATTTGGGATTCGTAGGGCTGTAACAATTAACAATTCTGATATGACAAGGTGGTTGATCCACCCTTTTAGCTCTTAAATTAAAGTCCATATAAACAACTCTGTCACTGATCTGATGATGAGATACTATACATTCCAAAAAACGCTTGTTAACAATAAACCCAAGTCCACCGTGTCTATCGTGTCTCTGATCAAACAAAAACAATCGATGATGTCCGGGGAGTGTTGTTTCCAAGTATTCACGTGTCTTGGTCTCCTGAAGTGCTAAAATGTCTAAGTTATATCTGTCAATGTCCTCTGCAACAAAGTGTTGCCTGTATGTGGTCGATAGACCGCAAACATTCCATGTCCCAAAATTGAGTGTCGTAGCCATGATGAAAAGAGTTGCGTAGACTAGGAATCCTGTGATCTTCCTCGAGGCGTTAAACGTACTGACTTTTGCAGTCATGCGGACCCGTTACAGTCACACACCATCCTAACGTAGGTATAAGATGGCAGAATCCAAGTCCTTATTATATAATTACCCTGCCTCTGTTTAACGAGTCCCAACTCTCTTTCCTCAAGTAAAGTACCCATTAATAGTTATCGCAAACATGAAATAGCACAGTGGACTAAAAGTTATGACTTTCCACACATCAGGGAATGTTCTAGATGGCAGAATCTCACTCACTCCCAAATCTCGTAGGTATAACAAGAGGTGTCGAAGAAGGCACACAGCCGATCAAAACATGGTGTGAATACCCAGGGATATACCTCCAAGGAGATATTTCACCACCCAACAGATATGGATCACTACTCCAGGCTAAAGTGGAGTGCCTTAAAAGATATCCTAGTAGGGTTTATTTCATCTGTTGAATTCGTACACAAACCGAATATAAATATTTGCGTTTCTACTATATTATAATTCATGTAAATAATATTAATACTGATTACCAGTGACAGATTATACCGCTCTCGAATTGTAATAATTCTCAATTAATTGCGTTAATTTGCCATATTATATAATAGCTACCATTGTCAGAATGTCGGGGTATAACGTACGAAGCCGAATCGACAAATTCCTTGAAGTACAAACTACGACCGTTTGGTCCCCCTTACAATACTACCAGAGGCGACAAATTATGGAAAATATGCTATGAAACAGCAGGTTAGAAATGAGGGAGTTTTCTGAGCTATGTTAAGCATGTAAGAAAATCATGGTGTTTTTAAAAAATTAGTCTATATCTATGAATTTTTTGCCAGCTATCATTCACCTCCTAGTCTCTCAACAATTTACTTTACTATGCTACACTGAGAAAGTGAGAATGATATCTGAGCAGGTAATATTTGTGATTCTGTTACTATAAACTATGGAATTAAACAGGGGATATAATTTAAAGCTTTCAACTTTTGACGTAAAAATCACTCTTATCTTAATTTTTTAAGTCGATGAAATTTCAGAGTGTATAAAACAGTACAGAGGCACACTAGCAGTCACCAAATCCGGGAGACTATGCCAGAAATGGGACGCACAAACTCCCAATAAGCATATCTTCACTGCTGAAAAGTAATTAAAAACTTATTTTGATTTGCAGTTAATGCTTTAATGGTTTGGAAGAGTTGCTACCTAAGGAATTAGCAATTTTACTGATCACGGAAATCATCACATTAGAATCCAAGTTATACTATGATACATTAGATTCTTAGCCTTAATGATTGAATCATGGCGCATAAGCTGCCAATTTTTCTTTAATTTCTCAGTTTTTTGTCTTTAGAAATTTACCCCACAGTCACATCAACATATTCCCAGCTTTCCCACTGAAGGTATGGAAGAGAACTATTGTCGTAACCCTGGATACGAGTAAGCTTTTCACTAATTTTGCTCTATTTTACTTTTATTAATATGCTTATTACTTATTAATAGAAACGGTGCCACTTTTAAATTTTTCTCCCGTTATAAATAATGTATAATATAATTGAAACACTGAACATTTCAATTCACATTCTGCGCCGCTCATGATTGAGATTGAACAACGACTAATAAAGATCATTGTTTTTCATTAAGTTCATTTTTCCAACTACAATCTACATACAATATGATAGCTGACAAACCACATCCTACACAGAGAAACAGGTCTATGGTGTTACAATAGCGAGGGTAAACAACCAAGATGGGAATACTGTGAGACACTATGTGATCGCGCAAGTGGGTTTATTTTATTATCATATTTTCTGTCACCGAATAAACAATCCCTAATATTTTTCCATCTACCCAATTAGCAGTCCTGGCCGAGTGGCTCAGTTGAGTAGTCTACCTGCTTGTTAATCGCGAGGTACCAGGTTCGATTCCCAGCTTCCCGGTTAAATAGAAAGCATGGTACACACTACCTTAACCGTCGCTGGCCAAATGAATAATTGAATCCTTCGGCTTTCTGTTATTGGCTGGTTCTACTTGTGTACCATTGTGGCTGTTGGAATGTCCGAAGTAAAATAAGTGTTAGATTTAAATTTTTTAAAGCACAAGGGTGCTTGTGCAGATTCACATCAACACATTGCCTATTTTTGACCCTATCGATTTCCAATCGTAAGTTGAGACTAACTTTGAAAACTTTAATAAGCCCCGATAAATTTAATCGTCAGAAGTCGTGAAAGTTACCTTCAGTTAAGGGGGGGTTCACCCTGATTTTATTGTGAAACTTGGTTTCGAGATAGCAGTTAACCAACAAACTAGGACCAGTGACCGAACTTTTGAGGGGGTCCCGGACCCCAACCGCCAAACGGTGCCCGCGGGGCAGCCACGCCCATACTTGGTCCAAATTAGGCCCAATTTAGCCAAATACCCTGAACATGCCCAAAATCCAGATTTTATGTGCTCTACTTGTAGCTAGTGGTCCCCTGAACTCGTATATGAATTTTCATCAAGATTGGACAAAAAATGACTGAGTTATGAGCAAAAAACCATATGACCATATTTGGGCATACGCACCAAATTTGATCGAATTTGGCCCATAAATTGGTCAAATATCAATATTTTTCAATGAAACCAACTTTATATGAAAGTTAAGCCTATACTACACATTATCTATGATTATCAGCTCAGTATCTACCTAACTGTGGATTCTGTGTTCAAATAATCGCAAAAAATGAACAAAATTGCCCATATCTCAGTTCGCGATATTTGCAAAACTGATTTCGCTCAAAACAATAGAACTCAATAGGGTTTCAATATTTTTACATGAAATTTTCAGAATCAACGTAGAATCGCATTTCGACCTTAAGTTTTGTATTGGAATTTTGAGTTAGGCCTTTAAAAAAATTTGGCGGCCAAATTCCAAAATTTGCAATGCGAAATTCATTTTTAACTCTTTGACAGTGACTCCTTAACTTAGATGTTATATAGCAGTATAAAGACCCAATTTCTAATATCGATGGCCTGCTAAGTAAAGGAAAATCCAAGAGATCTCATTCGGCCCGGACATCGCAGCTTTATTGAAGCCGAAACCGGATATTTAAGCCGGAAACGGATTCGGCCGGATACCCGGTCAGTTCCTTAATTGTATAAATTAATCATAGCGTAATTTGAATTAAAACATTGTTGAATAATTAGTATTATCTTATTACTTGATTAATATTCTTACATAATTGCAAATTTTATATTTAATGTTCAAATTTTGTTGATATCATAAATAGTTTGTAATATTATTGCGACTATAGCACAATAAGATTATTAAACTGTTCAGGAATACTGATGTGCCTAAATTTACAATTTTAATCAATGAATTGCATTGAGGGTTTTAATGCTAGTATAATCCATGTCCATTGTCCAATTGATTATATATATAACTAAGTTAGATATGGCTAATATTCTGATTATAATCACAAATTTTATTTCGAAAAAGTTGAGTTTACCAAATCTAGATGAACAGACCCTTATTGTCGTGTCAGACCCCCACGGCCCACATTCCTAATTATGGTACAATGGTTCAGAGCTTCAGATATTATTATGTAATATGTCACGGCACTACTACTAAAGCACCACTGTGTAGGCTTCCTGGCGCCGTGCCAATCACTTGTCTCACTTATTATCAGACATATCAGTTAGTATGGATTATTCTTGTATAACTGCAGAATCGCAAATATCTGAAATCCAAAAATAAAAACAGACCTTTGCCGCGACAAAATCATGCGGCTATTAGTACTAAGTAATATTACATAAGACAATAAATAAGCCAATTACCTCGCGGCACTTTCTGATAGCAGCATCCTGCAGAGTCTCACCCTCATGTACCCGTCCTGCTGGTAACCACCAACCAGTAGCGTCAGCGCTGGTGTAGAGGTCAAATCATGGAAATGTCAAAATAAACACAAGTAGAATTGTATTTTATTGTAATATCTTGTGAATTATATCTGTGATAAGTAGGAGTTGTTTATAATATGTTTTCAGATACTTCCGCCAATAGGTGCCGTTATAAGGTCGAAACTCTGTAATTCATACACTTTTCCGGGCCCTGCTGACCGAACTATGATTGAAGTGAAACTGAAGTAGTTGACATAACAATTAGTTTGTTTGTCAGTACTTGAGGTGTTGATATTATCAGACTTTGCCAAAGCAGCTCCCCTACTAAAAGTGTTTAAACTAAAGAAAACCTACTAATATTTTAAAATAATAATTCCACATTGTTGGCTTAAAGAGTCTTAAAACTGTAAATTTAGTAGGGTCACGTACTTTGCTACTGGTAATTTGCCAGACTGTTTTGACACGTGACAACACTGATTGGTCAACACTGCAAGCTGATTGGTTAATTGATATGTCAGAAAAAAAATAAGGTTCACTTTCCCACCAGTATACAGATCTATATACTACACACTGATAACACACAGAGTGGATCGTGACATGAGGGAATACGTAACCATACCAGGACACACTGTAAGTTGTGTTAATTAAGTCACACATAACATATTTTATATTATATTTGAAACTTGATATAGTGGTCTCAGCAACCAACTAACACCTAGCCTAGTAGGTAAAGTGTGGTAGGTACTTGTCGTTCTGAGTGTGCGTGAAATGTGTAGTTACAGGGTCTCAGATAAAGTATAGCTTGTGACTAATTAATTGCCTAATTGACGCAATTAACACCCGATTATAAACTGCACGCAGGATGGAATACCATTCTGCACATTGTAACTAAAACTAAATTGCTGTTATTAGCAGGAATATAATAAATACTATGTCCCTCATAACTTGAGTACAATTTTACAGGAGTTTAGCACAAAGCACTTAGTTTATGATAATACACATCACACGCTGCTAACCGCTGGACTAGGAGGAAGGTATCGTCTCTTTGTTGCACTAGAATCAGAACAATGTTGACAGTCTGAAAAGTACATTGAACTGTTGATTGCTTGCCTCCTTCCGAGCCTGCTGGTGTGTTCTTCGTCCGATTGGCATTTTCCGGCATTGCTAAAAGCATGATTTATTATGAGGGTGTTTGGTGGATTATATAGCTTATCAATCATCATCATGCTTATTGAACAAGTAGCTATACTAGAGACAAAAATACAGTATGAAAAATATCGGCAGTATTCTAAAAATAAATGTTGATAATGTTGATAGCACATTATTACCATTGAACAGCGAAAATATTTGTTTCATCGTTTGTGCAATGTTCTACAGAAAATGTTTCGAATTGTAACTTTATATGGACATGTTCATTTGAATAATATTGGTAAATAATATTAGTAACCCTATTGAAAGACACGGTGTAGTTGGTTAACTTTGTCACACCAAGAAATTGTATTAACCCTTGTTGGTTAGGATAATCGTCTCATCCTCAAGGCAAACTTTATCGTATAACAAACAATATCTTAATCAGGTTCAATAGCATATGCATATCGCCTAAATAAGGCTGGCACAAAAATGTAACATTGTCACACTATAAACATGTGACGGAATAAATATGGAACACTTGCTGCCGTTTTTGAGTGTCCAGTTGACAGGATGGGTATGACAATTACCTACATACTCAACGACTTTTTCGTTGAATAGTTCCCCAGGTTAATTCCGTCACATATTTAAGAAAATTTCGGAAAATTTTTGAGGAATGTTTAGGGCACCCTGACATTTGACAAGGAATGCTGAGTAGTGTAACATTATTTGATGACCTGGGTATGTTGGGAATTGTTAACATATCACATAGTTTCGAGCAAATAAAAACACAGTTTTACTCTTGATGATATCTCAACATGTGTGAAATTGAGCAAACATTGATATATACCAATTACTGGCTCAATCATTTTAATATAATTATATTACGTTCAATGGAACACTATAACAATTACACACCAATACAATCTATTACGTCATAATAGGGCAAGCAATGTTAATTACGTCACATAAGTGATTGTAGAATTAAGATACATTTTCGTTCACATTGACAGTTCTTATTATAGTTTGAATTGATTAAGATAGGGATCATAGCCGAATATAGCCACACTACTTGATATTGTTGGTGCAGGGAAAGTTCATTTTGTCACATTTTTAGTGATTTCGAAAAACTGTCATTTGCATTTTTGTGACAATGTAAACATCAACTGCCTTTAACTTGAATCAACTGCATCGTCTTTAAAACGTTGTCCTTTAACCAATGTTCTATTAGATTAACTTAACTTTGGCATCTCTCGATCTCCTGGCGGTTTTCCAGGAGGGACTATATTCAAATCAAATCAATGCCCTGAAAATGTGCCTGGACAATGGTCATATTGGTATACAAATGACTAGATTCAAATCTACATTAAACCATGTCAAAGAGAGACAGGCTAGGTGAGATGGACAATAGATTTGGAAACTAGATCTGTAGTCCATCTAATTTGAATGACAAAAGTTCAATACTGGCAATTACTATTTTCGATCATATTTACCACTCTTGTCATATCCACACCACTTTGAGGTATCAAAACTTGCAACGACAACTTAAATTGTTAGACTGTGTCCAATCCTTTAAGTCAGTGTGGTTTCTTCTTGATAAGTTGATATAAACATGCATTCAGACATCACAGACCATTGATGTGAAATATGTGGGTACATGTTTTAGGTCTCTTAGGTCATACAATATGAACTGTAGAAGGATTTAATTTAAAGATTTGTACAGTTCAATACCTTTTCTTCTAATTACATTACAGGTCAATGTTTTTTCAAAACCTAAATTTGGTTAATTTTCATCCTTGACCCTCTTCTTCCACAATAAGGGGCCATAATTTTTAAATTATGTAACAGTATAGAATTATTATTATTATTATTCTTCTGATGAAATGTGTGATCTAAACTTCTAAATCTAGGAATTTAGGAGTGTATAATGTAGATTGTAGATGGAGGCAGAGTACGTGAGTGCACGATTAATAGACATATAAATCCCATGAGATGTAGATATTAAACTGTCTCAAAAGTGCAAAATACATTACAACCCTATTAAATGCTTGAACAAACTTTTGCATTGGTCATTGAAAAATATAACCTAAACTAAACCTTATCATCCAAAATTGTCTCCTGTTGGAGAAGATTTAATTTATGATTTAACACATTAATAAGACAGATTCTACATGAGCAAGGATTAAATCCTAGAATGATTTCATAGAGTTACATATACCAATGCCCAGGTAATGTTCACTGGTTTCATCACAGCTAATGATTTTGGTGAATGCTTCTGAATCAAATACACTGAGCAGATATTGGATGATCATCATAGAGATTAACATGTTTTCAATAATAATAATAATTCTATACGGGTATATGGCCCCCAGAATATAGGTGGCCCCCAAAATATAGGTCATGTTAGTGGATACAGTTCTAACCAAGATAAGCGATACTAATGGGATCTGTTACTGCTATGTTGGAGTAAAACATGTAACTAATGTTTCTGGATAAAAATTTTGGACCTACATGAGGTATTTTGGTATATTTGGTCATGACAGCGAAAGATTTAAACGATGTTGTCATTTTCTAGAGGGGTAAATATGGCGAAAAATTGTCATGACAAAAATCTGTCCAACACATGCCATTAAGACTACTGGTATGAGTATAAGTATTATTTTAAGCTATCTTTTCATCGAGACATCTGCAAACTGACAATTTGGAAAAAAGGTATGGCCACCACAATTTTACGGGCCCCCAGAATATAGGTCTATACGACCCCCAGAATATAGGTTGGTCAAAAACCCTGAACATGCCCAAAACCATGCTTTGGGATGCTCTACTTGTAGCTACTAGTCTCATGAACCCACATATCAAGTTTTATCAAAATTGGATAAAAATTGGCCGAGTTATGGGATAAAAACAAAAACCATATGCCCATATTTGGGCATACGCACCAAATTTGATCGATTTTGGTCCATAAATTGGTCAAATATCAATATTTTTGAATGAAACCAACTTTATATGGAAGGTAAGCATATATTACACATTCTCTATGATTATCAGCTCAATATCTACCTAACTGTGGATTCTGTGTTCAAATAATCGCAAAAAATGAACAAAATCGCCCATATCTCAAACTGACTTCGCTCAAAACAATAGAACTCAATAGGGTTTCAATATTTTCACATGAAATTTTCAGAATCAACGTAGAATTGTCTCATGACCTTAAGTTTTGGGACAGAATTTTGAGTTAGGCCTTTAAAAAAATTTGGCGGCCAAAAATGTCTGATTTACAGTCATTGAGGTGCACATTGTATTGATACAGATAAAAACAGCCCCCCTCAATCATATCTAGGGACACTCCTTCAATCTTATTTAAGTATTTAGTTAAGATCCCTACTAAATGAGTGCATGAAAGCTTTTTAACTAGTAAAATTAAAGATTTTACTCATTACGGGTATATGGCCCCCAGAATATAGGTTTAAAAAAAAAATAGCGACCAAGATTCTGCATTTTCTCTGTCACCCTGAGCATTAAGGAATGTGGGGTAGTGATGAGAAACAGTTAAAGAACATATGCTGAAGAGATGGCATCATCAAAATGTATGAAGGTGGAGTATTTGAGGACGATTTTTGCATACCTATATTCTGGGGGCCGTAGTTTTTGATTTTTTGCTATTAAGTATACTCTAAACCATTTCAATTTAGTATCTGGAGCCATTGGCATCATCAATACAGTCTCAGCAACATATTCTGACTGCATATAACTGTCTGTGACAATTTTAGAACAACTTAGGAACAGATGTTTGGACCTATATTCTGGGGGCCCTGTTAAAAAATGGTATTTTTACAGGTGAAAAAAAAGTACACTTAAAAACCTAATAATTATTTTCAACTACCCAAGAAACATTTAAAGGGTTATTATGTACATATTTACAGCCCTAAACATGCTTAGAAGTAGTTTTAACACCTGTTTCTAAGTGCTCAAAAAACGACCTATATTCTGGGGGCCATATACCCGTACAGTTACATAATTGAAACAATTATGGCCCCTTATTGTGGGCAGAGTATGTGTCTTTGTTGAAGTGTCCTGGTATAAACTTATCTGAGTGACTGCATTAAAATAATTTAAGGAGAGTTCTCTTAAAACTTTAAAACAATGGGGATAAATACTAAGACCTAAAAAATCAAAACAAAATGCAGCCACCTAATGTTTTCAGTGTCTGACAATATGAAGTTTTCACTCTCTTTTGCAGGTACCACCCGAAGACTCCCTTGATTTGATTTGATTTGAAACTTTTACAAATAGTACATTATACAATACAGCAAACAGAATTAAAAATATACGACATTATTATCATGAGGCAATTGTAGGGTAAAAGTTGTAGTCCATATTGTATAAATACTAAAAGCATGGTTAAGTGGTACAAGTTCTGGGGGTATACGTATTACAAGTAATAGTTCTACTCCCAGACTCACTAACACCACCTCCATCTAAACACACAAAATGTATCTAAAACACGCAAATTTAGAATTATCAAAATAAATACATAATGTAATGTATCCATGACCTGACCCATAATGCGCCAAAAATTGCGCGCGTATCATCACACAGCGCTTAGAAGCAAGATTACAGTCGGATATAAAGTTCGCGTAATCCAGTTAAGTATATTAACTGAGGACTGCACCAGGGTCAAATCATGGTGACAGAACGTAAATGTTATTTAATATTATTTAATAGATTTATTTTTATATTATAGTTGTTATATTCAGTATCGTGACCGATCTATCAGTGGCGGGGGCCCACATATAAATATCATTTGCACTCATTAACTTAGTCAGGGTCTGTCAATTTGTCCCAAAAGTGTTTTGCCAGGTTTGCCTTAAAAGTTCCGGCATCACTTATCTCTTTAAGGTCAGTTGGTAGGTCATTCCAGACACTGTGTGTTCTGAAGAAGAAGCTTCTCTTAAAGGAGTGAGCTTTTGCTTCCACAGTACACTTCAGGGAAAGGTGGTCGTGTCTGTTCTGTCGCCTCTGGTTGATATCAGGCATTTGAGATGTA